TGTGTTCAAATATAGGGAGTAAAAGTAAAAAGTCGTCAGAAAAATAAATACTTAAAGGTCCCCTATTATACTGTTTTTCATCAATATATTATAGGTCTCAGATATATACAAACATGTCTACAGTATGTAGGAGCCACTCCCCACGCCCCTCTGAGAGATATTTGGTTCAAAAGAACACAATGGAGCTCTAGGAGGAGATTCAGGTGATAAGGTGGGGGGGGTTACCTTGGTTGCTGATTGGCTAATGGTTAACAAGCCAAAACATCGTTATGACATCATAAAGTGGCCAAAATCTGATCAGCTAATTTTCAGACAGGTTTTTATAAAATGGATCAGGACAAAAAGAGAGAGAATCTTTTTTCCTAAAACTTTCAGAATCACTTTACACAGAGGGGACACATGTTGATGTAGAAGAGACATGGAGAAGAGGGGACACATGTTGATGTAGAAGAGACATGAAGAAGAGGGGACACATGTTGATGTAGAAGAGACATGAAGAAGAGGGGACACATGTTGATGTAGAAGAGACATGAAGAAGAGGGGACACATGTTGATGTAGAAGAGACATGAAGAAGAGGGGACACATGTTGATGTAGAAGAGACATGAAGAAGAGGGGACACATGTTGATGTAGAAGAGACATGAAGAAGAGGGGACACATGTTGATGTAGAAGAGACATGAAGAAGAGGGGACACATGTTGATGTATAAGAGACATGAAGAAGAGGGGACACATGTTGATGTAGAAGAGACATGAAGAAGAGGGGACACATGTTGATGTATAAGAGACATGAAGAAGAGGGGACACATGTTGATGTAGAAGAGACATGAAGAAGAGGGGACACATGTTGATGTAGAAGAGACATGAAGAAGAGGGGACACATGTTGATGTAGAAGAGACATGAAGAAGAGGGGACACATGTTGATGAAGAAGAGACATGAAGAAGTGCATTTTGCATAATATGTGACCTTTAAGTAAAGTACAGATACCTGAAAGATCTACTTAAGTACAGTAACTAAGTATTTGTACTTTGTTACTTCTGACCTCTGATGACTTAATAATAGTTTTATTTCCTTACTGTAATTATCAGTAAAATAACAGACACACATTTGGGAACTAAATACAAGCAACCAGTTACCCGATGGAGCGAGGGCTCAGAACTTAACATTTGTAATTAAAAAACACTCAAATACTATAAAAAGATGCACATTGGATGATCTATTCTTTTGGTCTTTTTCATTCTGCCAACAGGTTGTATTTGATTTTTACCTATAAGGCTTATTAAAGAAATACGTTTACCCTTTTTCCTCCATGTATTAATGATAATATTGTTAGAACAATAAAATAACTATATATACATACACTGATATACATTTAATACATGATTCAGAAAGAAAGATAAGGATTGTTGTTTCTCCATATTATTTAATTAGTATCATACACAAGCATGTTTCTATTAAAACACATCATATCAACTGAATCAAACAATAATGTACAAACAGTTCAAAGTGACGGCCGTCTGCACATGTTCCTCTGCACGTACAAACATTCACTAAAGAACACATCTACAGGACAGGCAACAACACGTGGGAAATCCAGTCAGAAAATCAGATTCAGCTCAAATGTAGTTTAAACTCAACTAATGTAAAGTTCAATTAGTTTCTTTCACTTGACAAAAACTGAATGTTATTGTTTTCTTTAATTGTTATCGGGCTGGTGAGCCTAGATTTTTACAAATAAACTCGACTCTTGCATTACATTTCTTAGAATTAAATAAATACGACTTTTTAATTCAAACAAATCAGAAGTGCTTCTTTTGTGAAATTGTTTGAAACTAACTTCATCATTGGTCTGCCAGATTGCTTTAAATAAAAAAATACCTTTTTGTTAAATGATTAATACATTTGAGGTCCATATTAATACAACTTTTTATAGTACTACAAGTCTTAGTAATTATAAGTGGAGAAGTATTTAAGAAGATTCTCTCAAAAGTCAAAGGTTCATTGGTGGTCATTTCTTCTGGATTTGTTCACATGTTGAACTTCTTCAAAAAAACTCCAACAGTTGATAAAGAGTTAACCGTACAGGATGCTCATTAAAACATTTTAGATCCTGTCCAGTGTCTGTTTGTACGTGCAGAATCACAAGACGTTACTAGAGTATTTGCCATAAAAAGATCACGTGAAACTTTACAATGACCTGAATCCAGTGTAAGAAAAGTAAGGTAAGCACAAGCAGTCATGATGTGATCCTTCTCAGACACTATAAGCATGTGGAATCAAATATAAGCACATGTCGATACGTCTGTTTATTGCACCTTTTTTTTTTTAGTACATCTCATGTTGTGTGCTTACATGACTTTTCTGCAGTTTAACACTCAGGTTGATTCACTGGATTAAGGCCTTTATTTTGATCAAATTGCACCAAAATAACAATTTATTTCATCAGGTCCCACAAATATACAATCCCTGCCCTCAGCATGCAAAACAGAAGAGCCAATCAGAACAGAGCTGCAGAGATTTCAAGTTTCTCGCGCTCGACCTGATCAACAAATACAGGAAATATCGACAGCGGTCATCTCTAGGCGTTGTTCTGACGTTATAAGACATGCTGGTAAACTCGTTAAAGTGGCTCAGTTTACCAGCAAACCAAAAACAACACATTTAAACTTCAGGTCTAGTCTGTCTGTCAGTGAGATCCCAATGTGTTTTGGGTATAAATTAAGAAATTAAGGCTTTTTTTGACTCCACAGACGTTTTTAGTGTTAACGGGATTTCTTAAAACCAAGTGCTCATCCAATCAAAGAACAGAACTTCCAACCTTCTAATTACGGGGCTGCTTCCATTGGCCAAAGTCAATATGTTTGTACACACAGGAAGATCGAAATACTCGGGACTGTGAGAAACAGTATTTGGATCTTTCTGTGTGTACAAACATATTTTGAGATTAACAATAAAGTTGACTTTGGTTTGTGCGACTTCCCGAAAGTAGTCGTTTTCACTTTTGGAAATCAAACAGGGTTATTTGATCCAATTGATGTGCTTTTTGTTGTTTCCTGCCTACTCCTATTTCCTACAGATAAATGGTTTCAGGAAGTAAAGAAATAAGAAGCTTTCCACTGTTTGGCTGAAGATGCTAACAGCTGTAGCATCGCTGCTGCATTTGGCTTTGCTGTAAAAACCACTCTTTCAATAAGGACTTAGTGAAAGCATTGCAGTGAGTTTGATCTGATGTTGTTGGGGGGTTTGAATTAGAATATTTGGGGGGTGTGATCTCGAGGATTTGGGGGTTTAAGGATGTTTGGGGATGCATCTTGCATTGTTGGCGGTTTGATCTTGAGTTTTTAGGGGTTGTTTGAGTATTTGGGAGTTCAATGTATTGTTTCGGTTCGATCTAGCATATTTTTCTGGGTTCTATTCAACTTTCATGTCAAGGACGCTGTTTTTTTCAGCGTCCTTGGTAGCTTGTTCTCGCTTTAATAGGAGTTGGATATTGCATTTTTTGGGAGTTTGAATCTTCTAGAGCAGTCGCAGTTTTTTGTTTTTAGTCATTTTCAAGGACATGTGCAGCTACAAAGAACTTGTGATGGGGTTTAAAGAGACCAAACAACTTATCAGATAAGTATTAAACAGATTTATCGATATCAAAAATGATCTTAACAAGCAGCCTTAGCAACCTTGATAAAAACCGGCAGAGGGGGAACATTTCTAAACTAGACATTTGGAGCGTTCTTGTCTAAATATGGACTTTGAATTTGGGGAGTACTTAGCCAACATGAAGCCACACTGACCTTGTTTGAACCGACAGTGTAAAGTGTAACCCCCACATACACTGACAGTTAGACCACTCTTAAATGAAACAACCCTAGTACAGAATATCATACAGATAGGTAATGTGCTTCCTTTTCCCATTTGTTCTGCAGTCTGATTGGCTGCTGTCAGGACCAGGAAGTGTCAGTACTTCACATAGATGTTAAAAATGAATCAAACAGGAACATATAAGTACTGCGAGAATAGCGTGGCAATGTAAGCAAAATGTTAATGAAGGTCTTTGTATGAACGTAAGTGCTAACGTTTTGACTTTGGATGAAAACCTTTTGATCTGGTTTTCATCGGTACTTCTCGTAAAACCTCCTTCTTATTCGATAAGTATATTTTGGACATAAAGCTGTATAAACGTACTTTTTAATACTTGCTTTTGCTAAAGTCGATGCCGTTTGATTAAAATGGATTACTTAACTGTCTAGCTAAAGGCTTGAATGCTTAAAAATGCTGCGCTTCACACCAAAGAAAACCCACAATGCTTTGCTTCCACCATGAGCTGGTGGTAGACTTAGACCAGCTGAATAAATGGATACAATTAGATGTTCTTGTGTAGCATCATTCAGGTTCACCACAGTCCAAATCCTGCCCTTAAACCACATTCCTTGCAATTCAGTAAAAATAGTTTATTTGAAAGTCAATGGCTGCCCAGGTCTTATTTTTTGGAATTCATAAATGTGAAAATGACCTAAGAAATAGCCATTTACATTTACATAGTCTTTGTAAAAAGCTAAATCCAGGATGTCATTTTAATATAATTGCAACGTCAAGGTCGCTATTTAATTTTTTCACTTTAATTTGAACATTTTCTGCCAGTTTTACAATCAATTTCACTCTCAATATGACAGGTAGTACACTGAAAAGTACCAATTTGTTTTTATTGTGATGGCAATTTTTCATTTTCAACAATAGAATTATAATTTAATTATGATATTAAGTCATTACTACACAACCTGCAAACAAATGCATTATAAATCATTAATGTTGGCAGCCAAAGACTTCCATGTAATGTTTGCTGTGGTTATTTAAAGGACAGGATGAGGACATGTTCTGTTAAATATTATGAAGTCAGATGATTATCTTCTGTTGAGATAATCACGATATTTCGACTTTCTCCTGGTGCCATGAACGATGGAAATGTGACAAGAGGAAAATAATGGGATAAACACTTTTAAATAAATCGATTTTAAAATAAACATTTAATATGTGGGAGTTATAACGCTTAATTAATTACATCGCTCCATTTAATCCGACATGATGTGTGTACGTTGCATTTGATCACATGACACCCCAGGTCCAATCAGCAGACGTCTCAGAGCAGAAAACACTGACTTGTGAAGTCAAAAAAAAAAACAATACAAAATAATAACAATATAAAACAATAAGAAATAAAAAGCTTATTACAGAGATATGAACAGAAACAAAACGACATTTCTCCTTCTCCTGTTAGAGTACCACTTCATTACTTTCTGGACAGACCAGGTTATGTCACAATAAGAAGATTATTAACATTATTCTCATTATTAATATCTTACAAAACCGAAATCAACAGTGCAATAAAAAGGTTTTTAATCCCTCGCTCGGCGGGAGAGCAAGAGTGGCGGTGAAAGGGGCGGGACTTGGCGACAAGGAAAGGAGGTAACATCCAAAAGGAAGGAAGGAAGGAAGGATAGAGGGAACACAGAGGAGGACAAGCAGTTTACAACAGGCGAGAGGAAGAGGGGCTTCTCAGGATTATATAAATGTGAAATAATGGAGGTGTGGATGGATGGATGGATGTGGAGGTAGAGAGGAAGGAGGAAAGGAGGCAAGGAAATCAACAGAGGAGGGAGGAAATGATGAAGGCAGATGTGTGGTTACTGTTGATAAAGGTGGGGGAGGGAATGGAGAGGAGGATCATGGGAAAAGTGGAGGAAGACCCACACAACAGGCTCCAGCTAATAATGCTAATGTGTGTATGTAAGCAAGTGCCCTTTTTAACAGCTTATGTTTGTGAGTAAAAGTCAAAATGGCCGATGTTTATATACTAAGATGTTTCTTTAGGATCCAAACCAATTTATAAATACATGTTTTATCACGGAGGCTGTTGTGGAGATCTGTTCAGATGCACTCATACCACGTTTTAGTTTGCTAGTGTTAAACAGTCAAAGTAATTTCACCCAATTTACAAAAAAAGGTATTTTCTCTGTGGATTCTTGTTGATGTTTTTGGCTAATCTACAGACCTTACTGTCGACTGTTTAGATTTTTCAGGGATTATTTTCAAGCGGAGAAATATTCCCTATAACTAAGGTTTGTGTTCTGTAATTTGGGTGAAATGACACTTATACTATTGTATAAATAAAGACGTATATATATGTTGTATTAGATTTAAAACACCTTTGCGAAGAAGCATCAGTGACTAGGGTTGAATGTCAGAAATCACAATATTTTTTGAGAGTTTAAAAAAAATAACCTGCTGGTATTTGAATGTGCTTTAGTACAGAGGACTATTGTTTTGTTGAAGGAAATGAGCTTATTAAGTCATTAGTGCTTCAAATTAACTGTCAAACCACAGAGGCAGCATGTCAGGGATTTCCCCTCTGAGACTCTGTATGAGCATTTTCCACCTTTAGGATATCCAACTTTGAAGACGGAAAGTTGTCCTTCTATCACATGATTTGATGATGATAAAGAAAAATATCAGATTATTAGGATGAATATATACATTTCTAACTAATTACGATCAGTTCTGGGAGAGTTGTGTTCAAAATCGCATTTCATTTATGGCGAGAAATCCCAGAACATTGTACGGTAATTAATGATTTTAAACCCTGACATGATTAGGTTTGATTAAATCAGAAAACAGGTGATCCGGTTTCTGACACGATCTACCTGCTTCCGAGTTATATATTATGTTCAATACTTTAATAAAAAAAACTAAAATGAGCTATCAGTGCATCCATAGGAGTATCGAGGGGTGAGGAGGTATAAATACAATGATGGATGGGGGGGGTGAGGGGGGGTTTGATCAAAGAGCAAGTGTGTGTGTGTGTGTGTGTTAGGACAGGTGGGCGTGGCCTGTTCTGTTGGGGGGGCGTGTGTGTTCTCAGGAACTCCTCTTAGTCCGGGAGTGTTGGATCAACCACTGAAGAGTGATGTCTGCAGAGAGAGACAGAGGTGGCGTCAGACAGGAAGTGTGTGTGTGTGTGTGTGTGTGTGTGTGTGTGTGTGTGTGTGTGTGTGTGTGTGTTGAGAAACAGGAACACACAGGAGAAAGACAGAGAGAGTGAGAGAAAGAGAACAATGTCAACTAATGTGTGTTTTAAAAATGTAAACTTTGGGATTATTATTATTATATTAAATATGTTACATTCCCCGTAGCTGCGTCACAATAAAAGCTTTCTGCTGGAAAAACGTTGAAAGTGTATTGAGAAGGAAAGCAATCAGCAATAACATGGCCCTTACAAACAGAACACTAAATATATGTTATTTGTAGTGTATTAAAGCTTTTTCTATGCGCCTTTAAAAGCTAAATCAGAGTTGTTTCTTCCTCACATTTTTAGAAACGATGTTTTCAGTGTTGCTGTGTAGACGGTGAGTCGTTGGCTTGTAATGCAATCATTGTATCATTTCTGATAGTATTGTGCATAGTAGAACTATACTGTTAACCTCACAGAGAGATCTACCAACAAGTGCTTTTATCTTTTCCTCCTGTTTGACGGACAATTCTGTATGTTGTCCCAGAGTAAATGTAACTTGACATCTCTATTATGCGGTCCGTTTGAAATTAATGAGCATTCAAAAATGTTGTGGACTGAAAACAACAAGGGCATAGGGAATTTATTTGTATATCGCCAACCAGGGTAGTTAGTATAAAAGCACACATGTCTTGAGTGTGTGTGTGTGTGTGTGTGTGTGTCCTAGCATTACTATCCTTGTGGGGACCTAAATCTGTTTACACAGTCACGTGTGGGGACTCGCCTCCCTTATGGGGACAAATTGGAGGTCCCCATAAGGGGAATCATTAATTTTAGGGTGAAGACTTGGTTAGGGTTAGGCATGTGTTGGTTATGGTTAGGATAAGTCTCCAGGAAATGCATGTAAGTTAATGTAATGTCCCCTGAAGTGATGTATACATGGTATATGTGAGTGTGAGTGTGAGTGTGAGTGTGAGTGTGAGTGTGAGTGTGAGTGTGTGTGTGTGTGTGTGTGTGTGTGGTACCGATGTTGTCTTTCTCCTTGCAGGAGATGGAGTAGCAGCAGATCTCTCTGTCCTGGATGGCCGACAGGTTCCTGAATAAACACAAAAACCCAAAATCAATTTCAAAGAAAGTCAGAGGATAAAACAGTCGTGCAGAAACAACAACCTGTGATCTGCGATGATGCAACAGAATGATTATCTACGGTGAAGCCCAAACAAGGTATGTCTGTTTCTTGATATCCAAAAAGCATGTGACCACAGACCGATCACATGACTTTGTTACTGCACTAAAGTACAACGTTGTGGTACTTGTGAGTACTTCCATGTAATGCTACTTTATACTTTTATAGAGGAAATGTCTTGCAGCTTTGCAGATTCAGATTGATAAAACAATATATATTGAACTGATAAATGAGATATTATTAACGATTACTGTAAAATAAAAAAACTTGAAAAAAGAAATGAGTTGAAATCTGAAACATATTGCATCACTTTATATATTATTCTGAAATGCATCAGGACAACTTTTACTATTATGACTTTAATTACATTTCTATGATATATATGTACTTTTCCTATGTCAACCTTTAACTGCAGGACTTTAACTTGAGTATTTATAAACAGTGGTTTTACTACTTTTACTTAATTAAGATCTGAGTACTCAATCAATCAATCAATCAATCAATCAATAGGATACGGCTGTAGTAGGCCTAGGGCCTTTTAGTCGCTCATAAATAAGTAGATCACTGTTCTTTATATACTATGGATGCTGGCAACAGTCACATAGTCCAAAGTGAAGGTGATGTTTGACCAGTAATAGTCGAGAAGGGACTTGAGACAGTTAACCGTCTTGGATGTGACAACGCTTTCTGGCAGATCATTCCACAAGTCAACCACACGCAGGCTGAACAAGTTGTGGCGGATAGTCAGTCTTGAGTACTGTTTCTTCAACTTGAGGCAGTGTCCACGAGTCCTGGTGTTATAATCCCGTTGTAGTGGGCATGATGTTTTGTAGATGTTGTGGAGATATTTGAAAACTTCGATCATATCTCCCCTCGCCCTTCTATAATACATACTGGGGATCTTAAGACTTCGCAGTCGTTCTTGATGTGGTAGGTCCTTTAGTTCTAGAACCAGCTTCGTTGCCCTTCTCTGTATTTTCTCGATGAGCTCAGCATCCTTTTTGTACATGGGGGACCGGGCGACATTCCCATACTCGAGGAGTGGCCGTACAATAGAGATGTATAAACTACGTACTACATCAGAGTCCAAATAAGTGTATGATCTGCGGATCGTTGCTAGGATACCATTCGCTTTGAAAGCTGCCCGATGGATATGGTCACTAAATGTCAGGGTATTATCAACATTCACACCAAGGTCCTTTTCACTTTTTGTACTGCTCCCACCAATAGCCTAATGTATGTTAAGCTAATGTAAGAAACTGAAACACTTAAAGCTAAAGATGATTTTGAGCAAACAGCTGTATCTGTCTCCATGATTATTTTTCTATGAAGATATATTGAACCAGAAATAATTGCGACAAGCGATATAATTGTCATTTTACACCACTGATACAAGGGTTATATATAATAGCATCATAATGCAAATTTCAAAGAGCTGTTCATTCATTGAGGCGCTGTGAAAACACACCGCACCCAAATCTTATAATAGTAGAAAGATACTGTTTATTCTGGCATGTTATCGGATCAAATGTTGGGGTTATTCTTATGTATTAATTGTATTATTTATTAAAAAAACATCAGCCAAACTAGGGCAGTAAGTGCTAACATTAAGAGAAAAAAACATCAAGAAACAATAAAGCTTTGAGGCATATTTCAATTATCGCGCGTGTAAATAAACACACAACAAATATCTGTGTATCACACGTCTCCAAAAAGCTTTTAAATGAGCAGACTTACATCCTCTCTATGAGCTCCTTCTCATCCAGAGCTCCTGGTAGGTCCCTCTTATTGCCCAGAACCAACACCTACAAAAAAAACAACACAGCAGGAATAAACATCAGTTAAATACACAGATAATACAAACATTAGAAGATGTGAACTACAGGTAAGATATTTTATATGATTTGTGTTCTGCATAATCAATCAATCACGGAGGAAGGTACAAAGTGCTGAGGTCGAGAGATAGGCTTCCCAAAAACAATAACGTTTTATCACTGTGCATTTTAAAACGGCTACACTTTCACTTCCCTGTTTACAACGATGTGGGACCAGAGCTTGTGTTTAGCTTTGGTTGGTTTTTCTAAAAGGCATCAGGTCCAATGTTACGTCTAATCTGGTCCAAACTTTTTTTTTGTTAAAGATTCCCTAAATAACAATAACATTTGTTGTTGTTCTTTATCCCATTGAAGCAAAAAGGAAAAACAATCCTTTCTACACATAAAAAACAAACGTGCTGCTTTATCTTTTATCTAATCTCTGATCTGTTGACTTGCTAGTAAAGTAATCATAAAGACACAGTTGTTTATTTTTATGACAGCTCTGTACTGTATAAGCACTCTGGAACTACAGTGGCTCTAAGTTGCTAAATACTGAACTAATTCTACATTTTGTGGCTTAAAATAAGTTCACTTCCTTCCACCAGTTCGTTTTAGTCCATTCAATCCCTCTGCTGGGTTGTTATGTTTAAAAAAATAATCTATTTAGTTAACTGTTAGCATGTTTAATTAAGTTTAGTTGGGTTTTATTAGTTCCTGTGCAGGGGAATTAGTCCCTGTGCAGGGAACTAATAAGAGAGAGAGTGTGTGTGTGTGTGTGTGTGTGTGTGTGTGTGTGTGTGTGTGTGTGTGTGTGTGTGGGTGTGTGTGTGTGTGTGTGTGTGTGTGTGTGTGTGTGTGTGTGTGTGTGTGTGTGTGTGTGTGTGTTTTGGGCCCCTTACAGGAATTCCCTGCAGCTGCGGTTTGTCCAGCAGGTTGTGGAGCTCGTTCTTTGAGGCTTCGATCTTCTCGGGGTCTGCTGCGTCCACCATGTAGCTGAAACAGGAAGAAAATAACTTTAAAACATCTGTACGTTCATTCAAACTATTTAAGTGTCTGAGGGGAAATTAGGTTTGTGACTGTTCAAATAAAGTAAAAAAGTGTAGATTGAACTCGTAATATAAGTACAATAAATGTGTATTTTACAATATGTAACGTGATAAATGTAAATTATGATGAAAACCAGATGATTTTCTTTCATTGTATAGTATATAACAGTAAGAATCCTAAGTGTTATCAGTATTGCACAGTTGAATAATTGCACAGCAAATACTCAGAACTATTATTAACTATTTAAAAATGTTTTCCAAGTAATGACTTTATTAACTTTGAGTGGTCCTTATCATATCATGCTTTGCCCTGGAAAACTAAAATTGGTGTGTTGTAGAAAAATCTCACAGCCAATCAGAATCACTTTCACTACATGCAAAACAACTTTAGTGCTCTCTGTTACGTAACCCTGACCCAATTACCCAGCAGCCTCTCTGTCCCATCGCACCAACACAACTGGGTTGATAAGAAGACTGCAGAACTGCTCTCTCCCTCTTCACATAATCTGACCAACCTCGTGTGAACAAAACATTAGATTTGATTATAATCAGCTCTCTCTCTCTGTTTAATGTACTGAATACGAGTTGGTGGAGAAATGTGCGTGACTTTCTGACTACTGGCTCCTTAATGTCTCCGGTGATTTATATCATGTTTGGTCCCAGCAGAGACGTCCAAGCGGCCTCTTTAAAGGTCACCTATTATGCAAAATATTATGTTGCATTGTTGGAGAAGCCTGTGACATAAGATTTTCAACAACATAATTACTCTGTAGCTATGTCAGTTTGACAATAAAGAACCTTGAACCTTGAAATCCACTTCTCCATGTCTCTTCTACATCACCATGTGTCCCCTCTGTGTAAAGAGACTCTGAAAGTTTCAGGAAAAAAGATTCTCTCTCTTTTTCTCCTGATCCATTTCTATAAAAACCTGTCTGAAAATGAGCTGATCAGATTTTGGCCACTTCATGATGTCATAATGATTTGTTGTCTTGTGTAACCATTAGCCAATCACCAACCAAGGTAACCCCCCCCCCCCCCCCCCACCACCTTATCACCTGAATCTCCTCCTAGAGCACCATTGTGTTCTTTTTAACCAAATATCTCTCAGAGGGGCGTGGGGAGGGGCTCCTTATTTTCATCTAAAGTAACAGACAGAGAATCAGCACTTTGGAAACAGGACTGAAACAGAGGGGATTATGGGATGCTGCAATGATCTGTTTGGTGTTTGGAGCCAAACACTTCAGAGACATGTTCTGTATTATATCTGAGACCTATAATATATTGATGAAAAACAGTATAATAGGGGACCTTTAAGCGGACGGTGACCATAGTTTAGGAAACCAGGACTTACACGATGGCGCTGACTCCTCGACAGTAACGCTCCCACATGCTCCTGAACCGAGGCTGGCCGCCGATATCCCACAGCTGCAGACAGAGGGAGAGCACACAGTGAGAGGGGGCTCCTCAGAATCAATACTTTTGAGTTGCTTCCATTGATTGATATGTAATTGATACCTCAGATTTGAATGATGAAAATATTGTAAATAATTAGATTTCTCACCATTAGGCTTGTTCTAAGACTAATACCCGTGTAAAATGTGTTGTAAATGACTGTTTGGACATAATTGGTCACATGATTACAACTGAGGTAGAGTAAATATATTTTAGCTGTACTCAATAAATATGTTTTGTAGCATTGTCTAAATCTTAACAAATGCCTAAAGGGACATAACAAAAGTTAACTTGTAATGTTAATAAACATCTGGGAGATTTGTAAAGTGTAAAATTATGATTAGTCGAAATCAAAACTACTTCTTTGATTATCCATGAATCGTTGTCAAGCAGAAATGTCAGAAAATGCTGTTTAAAATTCTCAAATATCGAGATGTCCTGCATTCCTCTATTTATATCAAATTAAAGTTTATTTATTTGGGGTTTTGGACGAAAAAATTAACGCCATCTTGGACTTTGAGAAACTGGGACGACATGACATTTTCACTATTTTCTGACATCTTATAGAACAAAAGATTTATAGTTTAATTGAGAAAAAAACGTTCGATTAGTGGACAATTAAATGATTTCTTAGTTGTAGCCTTTATTATAATATATAGCACTTATAAGTGTCTACAGAAAGGGAGCAGAGGAATAGAGCTACCAACCTTGATTGTGACGTTGCCCTTTGTGATCTTCCTCATGTTGAATCCAACTGTAGGAATCATGTCTTCACTGAACTGGCCCGACTGAAACACACACACACACACACTCCATTGATTTTGATGTCATGAGATATGTGGCAGGAATGTCTGAACAGAAATGCCAAAGATACTGGGTTCCTGGTGAGGGAGGGGTTAAGATGGCAGCTGGGTTTCAGTCCAGATGGAATATCATTACTCATCTCCCCCCCTCGTTTCCTGTCATCTCTCAAAAAAGGAATAAAAATCGCTTATATGATGTATAAGTTTGGACCTTAGCTCTCTAGCTCTAAAAAGTATTTTTTAACTGAAAAACATTGCTCTTAGTGCGCGAGGGTCAACATTTAAAAAAAGACAGATTTAAGAGATGTCAAAATGTCACATAAATACAAATAGTTTTTTTATGTTATGTTGTTATTCTGACTAAAACACAGTAGAGATGAACAGCGATTATATATATATTTTTAGGCTCTAATGCAGACATGCTTTTATACGCAAAGGTGGTTATAGTGACACCTATACAGACGTGCAGCAAGCCCAAATATTGATTTAAATATCAGCTTTATGTATATAGTAATCTAATATGCTTCTGTTTTGGCAGTAGATAATTACAGAGTATTCTAATGTATACCATATTTTATATTGTGTATTCTTTAGATACTCCATTAAACTATATCTCATGTCTAGTGCCTGTAAACATGCTGCTGTAACAAAAAGAAACTATGTTGAACGAATAAAGTATAGTAAGGCTCTAGTTTGCACTCCAAACTGCATTTCAGATTTTCAATAGAAAGAAATGTGGGTTTAAAATATTGGGATTTGATTTAAAAAATCTCTATATTAATGCAGTTCCTTACGAATGATGAAATTCAGTGTGTTTCCTGTTCCATTCACTCAGACATGTTGGCCTGTTTCAAGAGCTACAGCACCTCACCTCATTTTACCCTACACATCAATAATGCATTTCAGATTCTAAAAAAGCAGTGGATGGTAAATACCAAAACTTCCACTAATATAAATAAGGAGAAAGGGAAAATCTATGTTAGTGGGTCACCCAAAAATGAGTGGTGTGTGCATGGTCAGCAGGGGAGGCGGATGTCTGACAGAGAGTGAGTCTAAAGAGAAGGAAGGTCACTCCGACAGAAGGAGGCTGATCGATCCTCCATCACCAGACCTATAAAAACCCTTCCTCCGGCCTTCCCACTAGCACCACTGATGGGGGGGTTAATGTCCCAAAAAACGGCCTATCATTCTGGTACGAACATCCCAATTTATGGAGGTTAACAACATCCATGTGAAAGCAGATACATAGAAACTGTATTTGACAGAAATTAGGAAATTATTTTGTCCCAGCAGCAGTGTTGTCAAACATCACACAAGTTAAAATGTTTAAAATATACAATAACATTAGCAGCAGTATATACAATTCACAATAAAAAAGGACATATATCACAAAGGTATCTACTGTATATGACACCACAATATTAAATATATTAAATACTCTACAATATACAGTCTCACTCAGGTACAGGAATATAGAAATATACTACAGACACATATTGGCTTTGGATTATATATACACATTACAAGTGTGCAAAGTATCAGATGTGCACATGTACTAGCGAATATTAGTATAACTGATACTTCTTAGGTAGTCCATTCCGACAACACTGTGTATATTATTACGTAAATATATAATTGTATTTATTTACCACTACCCTCTACCACACAGTATTCTACAATGTTACACTTATTTTGTTTTATAAATACTGCTTTTCCCTGAATGTGTTCTTCTGTAAATGTTTTATTTTTATTATATTTGAAATACTATGTGCATGCCTTAATTATCTAATAGTGTGTTATTTGTATTTTTCGTCATCTATACTGCTGTAACTATATAATGTCCCCTCTGTGGGACGAATGAAGGAATTCAGATTTTTCTGATTAAACAACACATCACAGCCGACATAAGGGTTAAGTGTTTAACAGTCAAACATATTTTCTCAGTGAAAAACACAGCTAGCTAATACAAATGTGACTTATAAATCATCCTTAACTCATTCAGCGGCTTACAGTAGTCATACAGCCACAGCTAGCTGACCTCACCACTGCAGGATAACAATGGATGCAGCCAGATGCTAACTGACAGCTGGCGCTAGCATAAAAACCACCCTCCACACTCACCGCTATCACATTGACGAAGGTCGTTTTCCCGGAGTACTGCAGCCCTACCAGGGTCAGCTCCATCTCCTCTTTCCAGAAGAGCGCCTTGAACCAGTCCAGCAGTTTGTTGATTAGCGCTATCATCTTTGTAATCGTCTGATGCTAATGCTAGCTGCTGTTGCTAAGGCTAGGTTGCTATGCTAGGCTGCTATGCTAACGCCCCAACTGTCTTTTTTCTTGGGGACGCTGACAGTTGCTGTGACAACCACCGACGGTTACAGCAGAACGGAGGGACACCGACAGGCTCTGTGTGAACCGGGTATGATGTTTAAAGAGTCGGTGTTTGTTAGGCTCTAATGTCCGCTGTGTGTTTTCGGCTTTCTGTGATGTTTACTAGCTACGCCTTTTCCTACCAGCCGCGTCAAGTCAGATGTTAAACGTAACATCACATCCGGTACACCCTTTCACAATAACATAAGTACCCTGTCAGTCAAAAAAGGTTAAAACCAGAGGTGACAGAAGTACTCAGATTTGTTGTGGTCTTAATTAAAGTAGAAGTACCAGAGTGTAGGAATACTCTGTTACAAGTCAAATAGCTGCATTCATAGGTTAATCAAGTCAAAGTACAAAAGTATTATCATCAAAATGTGCAGATTGGTCCTTTTCAGAATAATATATATGATATGTTTTATAATGATTGATCATTAAAGTGTTATCAAAGCTGGTAAAGGTGCAGCTAGTTTGCATGACTTTGTATACTGCAGGGTAGCTTGTGAATTTACTCCAGGTGGAACTAAAGTCTGATTTAACACTTGATTATATTTCACATCATTAATCCACATCTGTAAAGTAACTAAAGGTATTGAATAAATGTAGTGGAGTAGAAGTACACCATTTACCTCTAAATTGACTCCACTTCGAGCAATACAATTACTAACAAAGCACTTATATACTAACAAAGCACTTATATACTAACAAAGGACTGGCTTATCTAAAGCTAGTTGAGTAGCACTTGAAATATTTTGGCTCTATGAAACCTGATGTAGGGAGACCAGGGACAGTTGTAACGCCTTCAATATCTCCAATCACAAACAAGCTAGAGTGATGAAACTCACTCTGCACATGCTCAGTTAGATGGAAAGATCGCTGTGAAAAAAGGAGCCACGTTTAAATCTGTCACGAAAGATATCAGCAAAAGTGTGTTTCTGAGGTAAAACATTAACAAAAATTATATGATATCTTTTTTGGATACTGTCTTAAGGTCAAATGACTAGGAATCCAAAAAGTATTATTAGAATCACTGTTTTGTAAGCTAAACATATAACTAGCTAAATATGGGTCAAGCTAGCAATCAGGCAGGTTCACAGGGGGTGAAAACATGAGTCCTGGGACGGTTGTAACACGGACCACCTGGGACGGTTGTAACATGGCACATTTACAATGATGGCTCATTAGCTCGAATGACCAATATTGTTGATTGGTGTGCATTGTCCCTGTAAAAATAAACAGAAAAAAATACTGTACGTAAAGTGTGTGCATGTGTTTACAGTATGCCAAATATCAGAAAGAGGAAGACAGACAGGGGAGTGCCACTTTCTCTGCTGCAGAGGGCCTCAAATGAAGTTCAGGAGGGCCAATCAGTCAGGGCAGTGGCAAAGTCCCATGATATAAGCCATGTCACCCTGTACCGGTTCCATAAAAAGAGGCTGAGGTTGGAGAGTGAGGGATCAAAATCACCCCAAAGAGTAGGCTACTTGACAACCAAGAAGGTGTTCTCACAGAGCAAGAGATGCTTTTGAGAGACTACCTGATGGAGGCAGCTGATTTATACTATGGTCTCAGCTCAAAGGAGGCAGGTCTTCACATAATTAAGGTCGAATAGGCTATCTATACAGATGGAAGTGACTTTACACCTGCCACAACTGTGAATCAGATTAATTCCATCTGGTGTTCTGTTTTAAGTTCTGTTCATTGTTCATTGTTCATTATTTGTTGGAGGATGTGTGAAACCCCATTCAAATCTTGTTGCCTTAGAATTTGACAACGTCCCTGTACACAGGCACGGTTGTAAACCACATGCCAGGGACGGTTGTAACATGTTGGGTTTTAAAAGAAAAATACATTTTCCTACCCGTACTTATTTCATAGAATATAAAGCCTAAAAGCGTTCGCTAAAGCAAGTAATGTAAGAGATCGTTGATTTCAATGGGATTTTTTACCTGGATAAATAAAGGCTACAAACAAACTCAAGTCAGTACTAGTGTCTCTAAATTGTACTTAAGTACAGTACTTGAGTAAATGTACTTAGTTACTTTACACCACTGGTTAAAACCAGTCTATGGTTTAAAAACAAACATGTTTATATAAAAAATGAATCGCTGTGAATTGAACACAAACAGTATTTATCATCTACATTTTCTTTCTATTAGTTATTCAAATTTTATTTGAAGAACTCCTGCACATCCCTGTCAGTGTTAATGTTTCTTGATTTGTGCTGTAGCCTTTTTGGTTTCATTTATTTATGTGTTGTTCTATTCACTATGTAGATTGTTCTTATACACCATGGTACATTCCATCTACGGACACCTACTTAATAATAAACCTGATACACCTGATTCTGTTGATACAGCATAGATGTATTATTAGAACATGCTTCATGCTGCAGGTTGAGTCTGCTTCCTGTTTGGGTGGGGTTGATAGAGGAAGAAGAAGAGGAGAGTCGGAAAAGAGGAGACAGCGAGAGGTAGATGCTCTGGTGAGTGAAACACTGCTCTCTGCTGTAGAGACAGAGTACTTACAATCATTTACCTCTGAATTGTAGTTGAGTTGAAGTACAAAGTAGCACAAAATGTATACTCAATTGAAGTACAAGTACCTCAAAATTGTAGTGAATCTACTTAGTTACTTTACACCACTGTACTTATGTTACGTTTTTATGATCAAATGATGTGGACATTGAGTCAGGTTACTATTGTGGCTATGGAAGTGCTTTTCGACCTATACAATCCCAACATCTAAGTTGTGTTTATGATTAAAATAAAACGTAATTACTGTATACATTACATTTTTGGGGTAATTTATTTTAATTACTCAAGTTTACAAAGCCACACAGGATACACTGCAGTATACAGTACCAACAGAAAACCGTACAAAAAGTGAGATACGATGCAAGGTCAAATGAACTATTCAAGTCAGATGATGATGCAAAGTGGATAGCAGACACATGCTGAAGAAACATTAACTGTACAATAGATTATAAACAATTAAAAAACATTTACCAAATATATAAATACAAAGAAGAAGAAAAAAGGGATAAAAATAGGACATCACATAAATAACAAGTCTATCAAAAATGTGTGTTGAGAAGCGATTTAAAAGCTGTGCCCCCGTGTTCGAGTCCTGAACGGGACCCTTTGTTTAATGTTTATCCCATCTTTCTGTCCTGTCTATCTAACAAATGGCCAAATTAAAATGAAAAGATCAATACTTATTTTGCATTCATTATCCCATATGTTCACACTTTCTCTCCCAACGCAGAAATTAATAATATGAATTTCCAAAATTGGGGAGAAGACATAGTAAACACAAAATATTTTATCTTTTTTTAAATGCTCAATACATATCAGCGACGACATCGTTAATATACCATTCTTTTAGCCAGGGTAATCCTGTAGTGAAAACCTTTATTGGGACAGTCCCACAGTGAACATGAACACCTGGGTTCTCGTAGCCTCTGCTGCAAAAAAACATCCCACAAACCAACATTTTGGGGTTCCTGTTGGTTCTCCAAAGTCTCTACCTGTCTTTAAGTTTTGTTGCTGGCTCAACAAGTTCTCTTGTTTCCATATGTATGGTGCTGGAAACATGACTTGTAGCGCTAACTGCTGGTTGTATGGTGTCTTGGATTTCTTCAGGTCTGTATCGTGCCTTGTTGGTTCTCCAGGTTCTTCTTGTTCAGTGTGTTGTCCAGCTCCAGGTTCTGAAGCTGAACGCTGACCTGCCTCCCTTCTGGGTTCTGCTGGTTCTGGTTCTGCTCCTGAGGAGGAAACACTGGGGTTTAACTTTTCCTCTGTTACTAAAAAAACGACTGTAAGGGCTGTCCTCAGCTAGCATTAACTAGCGTAATTTTCTGTTGTTTTTGGTTTCAGGATAGTTTCTGAATATTGTTTTATGTTAAATGCTTTGTGCTTCGTCATGTTCTATTATTTTGGTACCTTGTTGGAATAAGTGTCTTAACTTTAACAAGATATGCTTGTGATATCTGTAGTTTCTATGTGATATAATCCATAAAAACACCATTTCCCAGCAGGACACATGATGCAGGGATCAGGCTGGAGTACCTGGTTGAGCTGCAGCTGGTGGCTGAACTGGGCCAGAGTGGAGTACAGGAACTGGTACTGCTCTGTGGTCTGGATCATACCACCTCTGCACAGGACAGGGGGAATAAACAAAATGTAACACCCCAGATATAGAGACAAGAATCTGATAAAAACACACAGACAGGAGAGAGAGGAGAGTTTTCCCCACCTGTCGAGTCGGAGCTGACAGACGGTCTCCAGGATGTCGAGCTGCCCGGTGTCTCTGAGCTGCTGACAGCCGATACTGCCGACGATGAAACACCCGGTCCTGCCGATACCTGCACTGAGAGGAGAGGAGACGTGCAGACGAGAAGTTTAACGGGGGAGAACACCTTCAAGACCCTGTGCAGCAGCAGCTGGGATCAAATGGTACTGTTACATTTTCAAAACATACAATTCAAATGATAAAATCAATGTAAAGTCAGTAAACTGGCAGCCATGAGGATGATGGTTATAGAGTGAAGAGGATATTATGTTTTCTATTTTTCCTTTAATGTTTGTTTATTTTGGTTATATATACAATATGTGTATATATTTTAAGTCTGCTAATTGCATTAAGTTGTACAGGGAATACCAGATACATAAAACACTTATTCTTTACCCTGTATTCCCCCATTTGACTGAGGATAGACATCAAAAGGAGTAAAAAATAAAATAAATAAACAATCATATAATATAAAATAAATAATAAAATAATAAACCAAAAAATATATATATTATAAAATAATAGATAATAAAATAAAACAAATTATGGAAAATAAAAAAATTAAAGTTAGGAAAGCAGTTAGTAGTGTTTTCAGATCAAAGTACAAGATGTTTGCTGTTGCGGTTAAAAACGTTCCCATCATGTCTTCAGAAGTACATGAAAGGTTTTGGTTTCATATTTAAATTCTAAATTCATTCAAATTCTGTTAAAAAAAGGGTTTTCTCCTCTGCGGTCTGTGTGCGACTACTGAGCCGTGTCCTTTAACATTGCTCTCTAGTTGTATCTCGAGCAACACAGAAGTGCTTCTTTGATCACACACACTCTTTAATGCGTCCTCAAACAGGAAGTAGCTTTCGAAACATCTGCAGCATCAGAGGCTGTTTTACCGTTGAGTGACCCAGAGGGTAATACATAGAGGTGGGAGAAGTACTTAGATCTTGTACTTGAGTCAAAGTAGAAGTACTACAGTGTAGTGTTGTCGTACTTATGTATAAACGTTTGTGCTTGTACTTAATATTTAGATTTTTCTTGGAATATTAGAACTTTTTTGCCTGAAAATGTTCAACCTTCCTTCTTGTAACAATCCACCACCCTTTTACTGACAATGCTATGATTTTTTTTACGTGCACTGTAACACATCGTTTGTCCACACATCTTCAACAAGCAGCACAACAGGAACCAACCTGCAGTGGACGACGATTGGTCCAGGATCCGGGGCGGGGGCTGTGATTGGCTGACAGCTGGGAGGTGGGAGGGACTTCCTGTACGTCTCCACCTCCTCCACGAGTCTCAGCAGGGGGGCAGTGCATTGTGGGATGTGGTGGTCTGGCCAAGAGGTGAACCAGTAGTGTCTGATGGGACGATGCTCCGAATCCAGCTACACAACACACACACACACACACACACACACACAACACACACACACACACACACACACACACACACACACACACACACACAACACACACACACAACACACACACACACACACACACACACACACACACACACACACCACACACACACACACACACACACACACACACACACAAAAAAACAACATTTTTCATTCAGAGATTTTGTGTTCAAATGTAAACCAAATGGAAAGACAAAAAAAAAGTTGCATACTCTCTCAGCTATTTTGTTTAAACACAACCTTTATAATATAGATTAGAATATTGAATGGTTTTAAGTTTTAAAGTCCAAAATCCATATTAGAACTACAGTATGTGATTGTAAGTTTCACTCTGGTTGCTGTTTTTTTGTTCGTGCTCTGAAATGTGTTCCGTTTTCATTGGATAGTACTTTGTTAACGGGGTAATTTTATCATACGAAAACAAGTTCTCCGTCTACATTCAGTAGATGGAAACACCGATGGGCGTCCATCATGATGAAACCAAGAGTTGATTTTTATCTCAACAGAGGCGGAAAGAACATGAATGCTTAGAGCTGATATGTGTGCTATAGCTTAAAAAACATGCACTTTAATTTAAGATTTCCTTACTCAGCTCTGCAGTTTGGACTGATTGGTGTAGTCAATGCAATTCTACATAAACATGTTGTGAATTTGTTTGCAAATGTTTAATGTTTGAGTGCCAGAGGGGCAAAGTGTCACTTCCTGTCAGAACGTGGCCACATTTCTGAGGCGACTTTATCTCTAAATGATGATAACGCTGCGGCATCACTGTGGCAGATGTTGCTCTGATGGACATATTTGGAAACCTGTTTGTGAACAAGGCCTGTATAAATTACAACTACTAGAGATGAAGTGGAGCAGAAAATAAAAATACTCAAGTAAACTAAGTACTTAAGTACTCTACTTGAGTAAAAGTACTTCACAGTACCTGGATGTCCATGTCAGTAACAGTGAAGCCGTCTTTCTCCCAGCTGTCTGTCACTCTGAGGAGGAATCTGCCAAACCGTTCTGTCTCTCCTTCCTCCTCCTCTTCCTCCCTCTGCTCCTCTTCTTCCTCTTCCTCCTCCTTCACACTCCTCCTGCTCTTCCTCCTCCTCCTCTCCCTCGGCTGTGGCCAGTACAGCTCACACTTCTGGAAAAAAAAAACAGAGCTTCACACACTTCAGGACAAGTCAAGATAAAAAAGACATGAAAACAGTAGAGAGGAGCTGAGGAGTCGACAAACCTCGTTGTTCTCCTTCAGTCTGGTAACCATGACGATGATGCTGCTCCTCTCCTGGCCACACCATGTCCCAGAAATCCCCCACGGTGTGTAACATCGGCCCCTGGGTGGGCAATGTAAGCTCTGGGGGCCCCTCTGTAACCCTGCAGCACAGAGAGGTCTTCCAATTAATCAATCAACCAACATAGCAACCAACCAATAAACCAACCACTCAACCAACCAGCCAACCAACCAACCAACCAACCAACCAACCAATCAACCAACCACTCAACCAACCAACCAGCCAGCCAACCAACCAACCAACCACTCAACCAGCCAGCCAACCAACCAACCACATCACCAACCACTCAACCAACCAACCAACCAACCGACCAACCAGACCGACCAACGACCTCCGACCGACCGAAACCGAACCGACCACCCCGACCGCCCGACCGACCGTCCGACCGACCATGCCCGACCGACCGATCCCGACCTACCGACCGACCGACCGACCGACCGACCGGCCACCATTGAATTCAATCAATCATCAGTCAATCAAGCAAGCAAGCAACCAATACATGAATCAGTTAATATCTCAATCCACTCATCCAACCATCTGATCAATCAAACAACCAATTAACATGTATAAATTAAATCAAATTACCATCAAAAAAACAGAATCATAAACCAATCATCACGTATCAATCAATATCTAATCAATCCATAAATGTATTAAATCGATAGAAATGCATGCTAATAGCACATTAAAGACAGGTTACTGTCATACTCTCTACAGGTGACTGATATGCTGATAAAAAGTAAATGTACAACTCAAAAACAGAACCAAAACATTGTTCAGACTTGTCCGCTAGCTCCAAAAAGAAGAAGAGCTTTGAGACTGCTACATCCACTTCTTTGCTCTCTCATCGAGTAACTGTATGGCAGTCTGAACAGCAGTGTTTTTATCCCTCCTGAATCACCCATGTACCCATGTGATGTACACCTGTAAGTTGCTCTTGAAAATTGTATTTGGACTAAAGGATACCTTCCCTTGCTTTTGAGATCCTTGGATGCTGCATTTATTTGATAGTTAATATTTATTTTGGAGTTGAACATGTAAATACGGCTTATTCTGCCATTTAATAAATTGCACAAATCTTTAATAACTTGCATAACTTGTTGGACTTACAGGAGGCATTTTCTAACTTTGCAAGGCCGAAAGTGGTTACATTTTTAAGAAACCCATAACTGCATCATGCAGAAGATATGACTACTTTTGAAACCGCAAAACATCTTGGACCTCATGAGACAGGAAGTGAAGAGTTAAGACTGTTCTCTTCATCAATAACAACCGCGACAACAACAAAAGTGTCCAATCAGTCACAGATGTACGTTTACTTTGTATTAACCTGTACATGTAAATTAATGTGTACGTGTTTGTTATTCTATTAAACAATTTGTAGATGTTGTTGCACATCTGCTTTACAACAACACACACACACACACACACACACACACACACACACACACACACACACACACACACACACACACACACACACACACACACACACACACACCACACACACACAGCGCTGAGGCGGCAGAGTGTGAGGGATGCGTGGGCCGGTGGTGAGGGGGGGGGAGGGGGTTAGTCATTTACGGACGTGTCACTTCCTCCCTCACTTCCTGTGGTTTTCCTGGTTGTCACACTCCTACGCTGACAAACCGACGGCTCATATCTGAGTTTCTGTCTGTTAGGTCACACACCACACACACACACACACACACACACACACACCACACCACACAAGACGCCCACGCTGAGTGACAGCGCTGTCACACTCTATCAGCTTGTTTTCATTTGGAAACATATTTTCTTCAGTGTCAGTAAACACATTTAATGAGGATTGAATAATGAAATAATAAAGTTCAAAGTTAAAGAAGAGATGGTGACACTCGAACCAATGATCTGATTACAGCTGACATTTTTCAAAGAGGTTTCTTACAATACAGATTTATTTTGATAAATAAGTAAGAGGGAACTTTGAGATCCTTTTGATGTGCACATGAACATTTTAGTTTGTGCATTTTCCAGGCTTCATTCAAATTATTAAAACTCTGCAATACTAACTAGTGATGTCACTATGTTACTAAAATAAACAAAGGAGTCCAATGGAGGTGTTTCTACTGTGGTTAGGGAAATGGAATAGAACCTGATATCTCACCCTAACCTGATACTAAATGGAAAAATAGCTGCCAAAAATGACAAATGCATGTGCCTTGACTCTGTTCAGAGCATATTGTACACCACTGCACATTTGTGGTCAAACTACAGAAAAGCAAGTTTACGGAAACTTCAAGTAGCTTATAATGATGCCATGAGAATATTGCTGAAGAGACCTCGATGGTCTAGTGCAAGTGAAATGTTTGTGGCTGCAGGAGTCAATACTCTACAAGCTGTTTTAAGAAATCTCATGTATAAATGTATTTGCCGGCTTAATGACTCTGATAATTAAATCCTCTTGGCCTTATCAAACATAAGGTTTAGTACTACACGCTACCAATCTGTGGAGACATTGGTATAGTTGTCTCTTTGTAGGACACTGATTTATATTATTCTCAAACTGTGAATTTTTTTTTATGCTGTGTATGTAATTTATTATATGTAATGCCTTGTCTTTTATCTGGACCCTGAGTCTGTAATAAAGTTTTCATTCATTCATTCAATATGAAATAATGTAGGTCTCTGACCTTGATGTAGTTAGCGTTGATGTAGCGGTCTGGCGACGCCTCTTCCTCCAGGTTCCTCAGGACCACCCGGCTCTCAGGGTCTAAAGAACAAACAACAAACCACAATCATGAACAAGAGTAAAAAAAAACAGGGTCTGGTGTGTTTCTACTTATTGGAGAAGGAAAGCTACTGACTGGGCAGGATGGTTTTGTATCTGTCTTTGATCATGTGACCTTGAACATCGAGCTCTGCGGCGTTCACAAAGTTCGGAGGGATTTTCTGTGGAGGAGACAGGGACGTTACAACAAACGCCATGAATGCATGAAACATTCTTTGTAACTTTGAATGCACCTCCTTACCTGGTACTCTACATTCAGTGTGTTTTTGTCGATGGCCGCCAGCTGCAGCAAGGTGTTTGTGAGAGGCCGGGAGGAGGTGTGAAGCAGCTGGAGCCACACCTCCTTTGGGGTGGAGACAGAACACACAGGCTCCGCCCCCAGACTGCTCACGTCCAATAGCAGCGAGAGGTTAGAGCCCCGCCTACAAGGATAACCAATCAAAAAACAGCATGAGCATAATTCATTTTTGGAAAGTGATTACATTTATAGATAATAGGGACATGTTATGATATTTAGTAAGCGTTTGTTTGAAACTCACCTCTCTTGCAGGCGGACCGAGGCTTTGCGAGGAGGAGTGGTCAGGGGAGGGGGCGTGGTCGGGTCATCGAGAGGAAGTGAAACTGAGTGCACTGCCGACATTCTGTAGGTGTGTGTGTGTGTGTGTGTGTGTGTGTGTGTGTGTGTGTGTGTGTGTGTGTGTGTGTGTGTGTGTGTGTGTGTGTGTGTGAATCTGTGTCTGTGTGTGTGTTAGAGTTGTTCTTAGCTGTCCATCATCACACCACGCTGTAGGAAAGAGAGGGACTATGAATGTCAAAACAGTGGAAACAAAATCTGCTTTATCTCAAAAAAGAAAAGGAATTATTCAAATCTTCTGAACAATTATGGCTGAAGTCATCTGATTTGTGCAGAACGTCAAACACTGAAGCTTCTTTAGCTGCAGTTTCTAAAACAAGATGATAACGGTAAAAGAGAAACTTCCCTTTTTAAATAAAAAGACAGGATATTCAGCAGCCAGACAGAAACCTGAAAACGACCAATCACTAATCCACCCAGGGAACTCCTTCTCTGTTTTATTCTAATTTTTTTCTCTCAAAACACACAGAGTTAAACAGAGTTTATTCTAGAGTCATAATACTTAAAACAGTCTAAGCAAAGCTTTTATCAGAAAGATTTAAAATAGTGTTAGATCGCGATTTATATTGTTGAAATGTGTAAAATATCACAGCTTTGATGAAGAATCAGCTACATGTTGAGTGCCTGTGAAATCACCACCAACCCTGCAGCTCAATGGAGATGTTGAGCATGATTTTAGTTCTAGTTTTGGTTTTACAGGATATTTACTGTAGCAGCCTCCCAGACCGAAACAAAAACATTGAATGTACTCACCGTTATGTTCCAAGTCTCTCTATTTTAAGTCGCACTTCTTTATTTTTCTGGCACCCGCTTAATGGTTTTGTGACAGAACTTCAATACACAAAGTTTGACATGACAAAACTATTTGTGCGATGACAAAGCCGAAGCTTCCCACCACACTGAGAAGATCTACTTCAAAGACTCATCATCGTGAAGACTTGACTTGCCTGACCGAGGATGTGTGTGTGTGTGTGTGTGTGTGTGTGTGTGTGGTGTGTGTGTGTGTGTGTGTGTGTGTGTGTGTGTGTGTGTGTGTGTGTGTGTCTTATTCATTGTGTTTCCACACCAGTTCAGATCTGTGTCTCCATCGGAAGAGTTTCCTCACAGCAGGAAGTCAGTTCACCCACACTGTCTCAACACACACACACGCACGCACGCACCCACGCGCGCACGCACGCACGCACCCACGCACGCACACACACACACACACACAGTATACTGAAGCAAGCGTGTGTTATTGATATGAAACGATAAGAGATATGAGTGTTTTTTTCTCACTCCGATTTCTTGTCTGCTCTTGTTTCGTGTCATCAGTCTCATCTTATCACATTTAGACAAGAACAGGCCAAATGTTTCCCAATTTACCAAGAAACCTTACCATAGCTTGGCAAATATAGGTATCCCAGCATGCATTTCACATCAACCAGCAGTGATCGTAGAAGATATGAGAAGGGTTGTCATTTTCTTTCAATACTTGTTATCGTTCGACAAATTAGTTTGAGATTTTTGAAACTGTCAAATGTTTCATTAAGTTTTAAAGAGGTCATATTGTGCTTATTTTCAGCTTCATATTAGTATTGTGTTCCTCTACTGGGACATGTTTCCATGCTTTAATGTTCAAAAAGCTCTTTATTCTTCTCATACTGCCTGTGCTGCAGCACCTCTTTTCACCCTCTGTCTGAAACCAGAGCCCAGTCTGCTCTGATTGGTCAGCTGGCCGGCTCTGTTGTGATTGGTCAACCACTTAGAGATGTCCCGCCACCTATCACGTACATTGTATTAGCACGACGGTTACATAGTGATGTCACTATGTTCCTGAAGTAAACAAAGGAGTCCAATGGAGGCGTTTCAGGCGGGGGGGTTGGGGTGTGGGAGAGGAGGGAACACAGGGATTTTAGCCTCTGCAGACCATTTACATGCACAGAAACCATATAACAAACTACAGGAAAGGGAAAAACAACCAAAAGCCTCTTTAAGAACCTTTCCATTCCAATACTTTTGTACTTTAACTTAAAGTGGACCTATCATGCTATATTTTAATAATATAGTGTAGGACCATACCTACTGTATATAAGGCATATTTATACTTTTTTTTTTTCAAAATACCAAACAGATCATGCATTTTAGCCATGCCTCATTTCGCTCAATTTGACATTTTTTAGATCTGTTTTTGCAAGGGTTGATTCTGTGAGCAACAGCACCACCTACTGGCCTGGCATATGTACTACAGCGTCTCCAGCGCTTTCGAACGGCAATGGCCGTGGCTGTCTCCTCCTGATTGGTGGAGTTGGCCCAATAGCCGTAGCGCCACCGTCCTGACGTCAGGACAGTGTTCAAATCTGGATCAGTTTTTATCAGATCCGTTGCAGCCCCTTTTTTAGAGATTTGGGTATGGAGGAAAATAGAGAGGGTTGTGTTTTCTGACACTTGGTGAGTTCCCTGGAACACCGGGGACACATATTCATGTATAAAAGACGTACAAAAGTGCATTTTGCATGATAGGTCCCCTTTAAGTAATATTTTAAATGCAGGATTTTTACTTGTAACAGAGTATTTTACAATTTAGTATCCATATTACTTAAGTATCAGGTCTGAATGCTTCCTCCACCACTGACAATGATATGTTTGATAATATATTGATCAGGCTTACCGGTTATTTGACAGCCATGATGTTCTGTTTTTGAGTAATTCAGTCCTGCAGGGTGTAAATCTTCCTCTGATACCGGGGCCCCCGCTGACTTTCACCTAAAACAACAACAAAACTGACTTTTCTGAACACATCGTACTAACTCAGTGACTAACTAACCAACATAACTAACGAAATAAGCAGAGAAAAAGGAAGGAGATAAGTTTCCTCTGTCTTTTTCTTGCCCTCTTAAAATCGATGATTTGCAATAGCAAGAAGAAACACGTGAAGAAAGAGAGCGAGAAAGTGAAAGCGAAGGAAAGAAAGTCCAAATATGAGGTAAAGGAGAGAGAAGAAACAGCAGGAATAGACATGTCCTTTTTTTCTGCCGTTATTCAACGTGTTCAGGTAGAGAGAGAGAGAGACCTGAGGGGAGAGAAGGATAGAAAATGAGTCAGAGAGAAAGAAAAGATGGACGGATAATGAAAAAGAGAGGAAGAGAGATGCTCCAGGCGTTGATAGTTAAAACACCAACAGCAGCTTCTCATGAATCATTCATGTCAAATCATACAATACAATCATAAAACACCAGCAGCATAACACACATCTATAACATAAGAAAATAACAAACATCAATGCGACTCTCTTAATGAACACATTGACGCACCTCCATTTTGTTTTTCATTCATCGGTCGAGAAAATTGAATATTTAGTGGTTATTGAATTTTGAACAATAAACATAATCCTTTTTTCATCAAATTGACTCTATACAGGAAGTCAAAGAAGTCCCTGTAACATAACATATTGTTTTTATTTGGGATTACAGTTTTGAAGCCTCAAGTTTGGTATTTGTGCCGTCGATATCTTGGTTTTTGTTGACCTATTGGTTTGTTGGGAACCAGTAATGACAGAGGGTTGAGCTAAGTACTATTAAACTCTGAACAAGACACATTTAAGTGACCAAAATGTTCAAATGAACTTCAACAACGGAAATTCAATTATCCTTTGAAAGGTTTGAAGTTGTAAAATGAAAACATGGACCCCCCCCCCCCCCCCCCCACACCTTATCACCTGAATCTCCTCCTAGAGCACCATTGTGTTCTTTTTTAACCAAATATCTCTCAGAGGGGCGTGGGGAGGGGCTCCTTATTTTCATCTAAAGTAACAGACAGAGAATCAGCACTTTTGAAACAGGGCTGAAACAGAAGGGGATTATGGGTAATGCTGCAATGATCTGTTTGGTGTTTGGAGGCAAACACTTCAGAGACATGTTTTGTATATATCTGAGACTTATAATATATGGATGAAAAACAGTACAATAGGGGACCTTTAAAGTCACTTTTGCATCCTCTGTGTTACTCTAAATGTTGCCAAAATTGCCCAAATTAACATCCTGCTGCATTGAAGAAGACTTGAAAGTAACGATCGAGACCATAAAATAATTACTGTGACAATAAATCCTGAGAGAAGAAGGGTCATTTTATCGTGGACTTCTACACAAACAAACTTTTGTCGCCCCCTATTGGATTTGACAGAGAATGTGGGGGATAAAACAATAACGATATGTATTGTGATGTTGCTTCATTATGTGAAAAACATTCTGTTATAACTCCAAATGTATAATTGTACTATTATCATCAGACCCATGTACTTTAGTTTAAGGTACTTTACACGGTAAATAAAATGACTGTTGCTCAGTTATATCGAAAAATGTTACATATTTCCTAAGAACAAATATGTCTTAGGAAAGTTTTTCATTCATACCTTGCATGTACTTCAAGTTATCAATTCAATATGTAGTAACTTAGGTCTACTTCTAATACCTAATACTTATCATATACAATTATAAAACAACATTGTTTCCACACTGATAAAGTGGTGTTGATATTCCTTACAAAAGATAATCAAAAGTATTTACCTCACAAACACTATATATTCACCACGCCGTTCAAAGTTATCTTTATGGTGAACAAGTTTCTTTAACCCCCCATTTCTCTCACCTTTTTGTTGTTTGTCTCCCTCCCCTTCTTCTTCTTCTTCTTCTTCTCTTTGTTTGAGTATAGTGTCTTCTTCCTTTTCTCTCATCTGTTGCTTTCTGTCGTTTTGCCTTTACGTCTATCTGCTCCTCGCCACTTCCTTTTTCTGCACACCCACCCACTCTCTCATTACCACACACACACACACAACACACACACACACACACACACACAGACATACACACACACACACACACACACACACACACACACACACACACACACACACACACACACACACACACACACACACACACACACACACACACACACTTATTCGCACACACGTACACTTTCTATTCCCCTCATTCAAGGTTATGGGTCCCCTTTAGACTGCACGCCTTGGGCTTCAACATTGTGTACTTGTATCTTTTTCATCCGCCTGTGTGTGTGAATGAGTGTGTGTGTGTGTGTGTGTGTGTGTGTGTGTGTGTGTGTGTGTGTGTGTGTTTGTGTGTATGTGAATGTGTGTTAAGCCATCAGCAGTGTTTCACAGTGGGGCTGTATAAACGGATTTTCCTCGTCTCTTCTCTCCAGCTGTCAGATGAGCAGCAGCAGGATGAGATCCTACTGGGACTCGGTCATGGAGGCCGACCTGCCGGCGTTATTAGCAGTCACCATAGAAATAAAATTAATAGAAGAGATACCTCTTGTTCGCGACAACACTCTTCCTCTGTGCGTGATGAGCAGATAATCACACTGTGGGGGAACTTTTAGGGCTTTGTTCGGAGCTGCGAGGCAACATTAGAGCTCTGCTGCTATACTGCTGTTGTTTTCGCGCCATCTTGTTGTTGTTCTTGTGTCCTGGTGTCATCTTTACACAGTCCTGAAAGTAAAATTATACATTTAAATGCTTATGAGTTTAGGTTTTAACGTCAAAGTGACAATTAGAGTTACAAAGTACGGCAATTAATGATTATTCCCATTATCAATTCAAAGTTTTGTACCATCTATGCAAAAAGAATTGTAAAAAACATCCATCCCAGTGTATACATGTCTTGCTTGGTCAGTTAAAACATAAATATAACAGAAGAAAACTGGTTATATCAATATTTGAGAGGCTGAAACAGCACTTTAACTGCCATTATTGTGACAGAACAAAACAAAAAAAACATCATGGAGAATGAAACATAGAGACAACAGGAAGGATTTTACAACAAGAAAGGATAACACCATGAAAATATTGAATGGACCTAAGACATCACATTCAATGTGTTGTGTTCATCTTCAATCAGGTTATTAAAGTATATTTGGTTGTGAATTATCAACTTTTCTCAAGAAGCCTATGCTACACTCAACATAACAATTATTTTTTACTTTAAACACATATATCATTATCTAGCATATACTAAATTACTTTCAATCAGAAAAGTAATAAAGACAGAGTTTAGTGGCATTGCATACTTGGAGTTTTGGGTTTTATCACGCAAGCTACAATTGGCTAGCTTTGTTATGCTAGATACAAAAAGCTAGCTTCGTAATGGTAGCTACAAACAGCTAGCTTTGTAATGCTAGCTACATAGCTAGCGTTGATGTGCTACTAACAAACAGCTAGCTTTGTAATTGTTGTGTTCAAAATTCCAGGAAAGACAGACAACTTCTAAGTTTAACTATTTAATATAAGGGAGCAAAAGATATATATTCACTTGGCCAAGGACTCCGTCACGTCATAGAGTGGCGAAGTCACGCCCATCTACTTCCGCCCCATGGGACCTTATTTCGGAAAAATAATGTATTGAAGTCAATGGAGAGAGAAAACGTATCTTTCGATCCCGTTTGAATTGTGCCATGAATTACACATATGATGTTTGTCAATCTTAAAAAATCATTTCCATGTCAAAAAGTCACAGTTTGTCGTAAAACTGTTGAAATATAAGACTATGAAAAATACGCAACTAGAAAGACTACAAATCCCAGAGTGGCGTAAGTGATGTCACAATTGAGACACTAAGATCAGCACAATTGAGATAGCTAAGATCAGCGCCATATAGATATAATCTATCTATATGGCGCTGGCTAAGATAAGATAACTTTAACAAGATGCCTGTGTGCTTAGTACCAGGTTGTTCATACCAGCGGGTCTTGCTCGTTCTTTCGCTTCCCGTCTGATGAAAGGACCAGGAGTGTGTGGATCAAGCTAGCTAGTAGCTAGCACGTTAGTTAGCATTACAGCCTTGTCATTTGTATTAGCCTTAACATGAAGTAACATTAAGTAACCCAAAATGTTAAACAGTAAGAGTAGTAGTCATATTTCGTGAACCCTTTGAAGAGTACTGTCACCGGTGTGATCATTCTATAATACACCATTTAAGCCCGGGGGAGAAATGCTAACGCTAACGCTAGCGATCTTCTCTACTTCATGCTATCTGCACAAATGGTTGACATTAAACATTAAAACGACCAGGCAGTTCAGAGAGAATCGAAGGAAGGCAGGCAGGCAGCTTTGCATGACATTCTTCTGGACGTGTTTCATTGTGGTGATAGTGAGGGTAGTCAATCGTTTTGTTGACAAGACAGTAGTGACGGCCATCTTGGTGACGTGTGTTGTTCTGTGAGACCAGAGATGTAGTTCATTGAGCGTTTCACACAAACAAATGTGTTACTTCACAGTTTTACGACACTTTTTTTTTTTTTGACTTGCAAAATTATCTTTTAAATTGACAAACATCATTATGTGTAATTCGTGGCACAATTCAAACGGGATCGAAAGATAATCTTTCTCTCTCCATTGACTTCAATACATAATTTTTCCGAAATAAGGTCCCATGGAGGTCCACCGGAAGGGGAGGGACTTCGCCACTCTATAGAAATCACAGGCTATTTCCGGAAAGAGCCTCGAACCTTGTGCCCGTACATTTATGATTGGTTGAGACTAGCTGAAGAGATAGCCTACCGTGGTTTGGACTTGGTTCTCTTTGGTAGGTGCGCAGACTTAGAAAAAAGTATTTTGGCAACACGATCCTCCAATCAGCATTCGGCCGGTCTGTGAAGGTTCCTCCCTACTCTATCCGCTATCCTACGTAATTTCTTTTGATGAAGCTTCTACAGAAAAGTGGAATCCTGGTTATACTGATTCCCAGCTATGCGTGGGCGCGGAGCTAACCCAGGCGGCCAAGGCCATAGCCTCAATAACTCATAGTTTATACAGTGCCTGCATCTCGCTTCTGCTACTTTCTATTGCAAGCTAAACTTTCTTGCTATGACTTTTCCCCTTCATTCCTATCCAACCCATCAAAAGTTGGGGTTGGTGATTGTGTCTGTTTATTCCAAAATCATAGCAACATCTCATGAGCACAAATAAGCAAATAATGTAATAATAAGAGTCTTTCTAATGTTATTTAAAAAATAGACTCCACATAATGCTAGCTACATAGATAGCGTTGTTTTGCTACTAACAAATAGCTAGCTTTGTTATGCTAACTGAAAAGCTAGCAAAAATGAGCATTGACTACAGCAATAAAGGGATTACATGTTGAAATATTTCGGATTTTAACACAGCAAAACCAACATACATTTTAACAGATAAAATATCATCAAATTGTACATCCTTTTACATATGTGTTCAGGAATGTTTTATAAGATATGTTTTTACTTACTTTTTTGTAAATCCCTAAGTTTTTTCGTACATTAATTAACATGAAGAGAGCTCATAATGGTGGTGTAACATAGGCTACCTTGTGACAAAGGTCTGCAATAGCAAGTGAAGCTGTGGAGGCCAATTTATAATCTGCTGCATATTTTAGTTATACTTGAACACATATCTAATATTAATAATTAACTATAAAGAAAAATTGCCAAATGAGATGTAGTAAAGTAAAAGTATAAAGCTGCATAAAATAGGAAAATACTCATGTAAAGTACAATTTGTACGTAAGTTAAGGTGTTTAGGTATATTTTTGCCACTGTCCTCTAAACACCCTGTAAAACTCAAAAGAAGGAAAGAAATGACAGTAGCCTACATTTTATTTGTGCAGACTGAAAACATGAATGTTGTTGAATAAAAGAAGCCGGGAGTCGTTTATACCCACTGCAATTACTCCATTTGCACATTAAAATGATGGCGCGCGCCTCTCGTGTATCTGTATCTAATTTATATTCTGATTTTTAACTGCTCTGCACTCCCTGTCTGCTCTTATCCACCGACGTTTACTTATATGATTTTTCTGTATGCTGTGTAATTAGCTGCTGTGTGTGTTTTCAGTGTGTGAAGCGCAACCCAAATTTCCCTCGTGATCAATAAAGGCAGAATGACTGAATGAATTAATTCGGGGAGTCTGCAGACTCAGCGCTGTTGACCTGAACGGCTCCCTGTGAGTTATTATAATTCAGCAATGCGATGGAAAACAATCCACTGAAGACTCACTGCTGAAAAACTTTAATTGATCCGGTAATGACACCGGGAGCGTTCTCACTGTCGTCTGGCTGCTAATGGGACAGGAGTGGGGGAAGAAATGACAGAAAATGAAAGGAGGGGATGCAAAAAAGTGGTGATAAAAGATAAAGAGGTGATAAAAAACTATAATAAAAGGAGGCAATACCACATCTTTCTTTATAGACTTCTTCCTTTTTGTTTGAGTGCAGAATGATCTGCCAAAAACAAGGTGCAATAATTATTATTATATAAGCTTTTGTCAATTACATATTTTTATATAAAATAAACTTTATATGTAATTTCTTTGTGGCACACTGTATGTGTTAGCGCTGTCTGGTGCCTTTCTGGTTTTCACTGTATGATACAAATTTCACAATATTTGTAAAAATGTATCTATGACTTTGTTTATTTGGATTTCCCAACCTTTTATTGGCAAATACATTTCCTTAAAAACAAGTTTTTAAACTATTTTCATAAAGATGATCTTCAAAATAAAAGAGTAAGCACTTTCACGGTGCCTTCATGATATGTGACAAATATTATCACAGTAGCCCACATGTGTCAAACTCGCAGGATAATTTTTAATTACTATTAGATCTGGCCCGCCGGTATATTGCACGCACACCTTCACTCCATCCTGAGGATTTCCTCAGCTCAGAGCCTGACCCCAAACATTGATGAACTTGAGTTTCAATGGATGTTTCCTTCTGCACTTTTTTTCTTTGGACAACAGGGCATGTTAGTTTTTTTCTTTGAGGGAAATAGTTTTTTTGAAGCTGTTGGCCTGTGGGAAAATGTAATCATAAGAAATGACTCTGGAAAAGCTGCAGATAGAGCCATAAGAAATGAATGCAACTGAGTATTTAATGTTTAATGTTGTTTTTATAGGCAATCATTTAAGCTTTGTTATTTCTAGGTTTAATATGTGCAATAAGTTCATTTCAATAAGTTTTGCAATAAACATTGAACCAGTCCGGCCCTCGACTAGTACCTATTTTTTAATTTTGGCCCACTGTGTATTTGAGTTTGACACCCCTGCAGTAGCCCATACAACGCTACTTTCAGAATAAAAGCCCCTAGATGGTAGCATGGTGAAATATAAGCTGTATTGCGTTTTAATATAATAAAATAATGTGTACTTGTATCTACAGAAACTATCTTTCTGAGAAATGTTTTAATCAGTTATTACATATTAAGTTCTTTCAGCAGAAATCAACATCAAAATAACACTTTCCAGGTTCAGTAAGTAATATATATATTCAAAGATAAAAAGTATACTTTTTTTTTGTTTGTTTAAAAGTTTATTTTCCTTAAAAGCAGAGAGACATGTACCTGCTTTACGAAACTGTATCATAATAATCTGTCCAGCATTAATAATAAGTGACCGATGCAGGAAAATAAATAAATACAAAACATTTTAATAGAAATAAAACAAACAGGATGCTCAACATTTTTTAACACACACACACACACACACACACACACACACACACACACACACACACACACACACACACACACACACACACACACACACACACACACACACACACACACACACACACACACACCACACACACACACACACACACACACACACACACACACACACACACACACACACACACACACACACACACACACACACACACACACACACACACACACACACACTCTTAACTCCACCCTAACACTGACCACCACCTTCAGTCTTTAAATCAAACGCTCCTCAGATGCAGAAACTGGTTTGTTTCATTGTTTGTTCACATTTGCTCAGCTTTAAAGAGAAAACACATTCAAACACAGAAGCTTAATTTACCGACAGAAACACCAAATGTTCAGACTTGTCAAACTAAAGCGGAAACGTTCATATAAAACTCTAGAGTGTGCAGCTACAAACTTAAATGTTAAAGTTTAAAGATGCATAACTTTGTTTCCAACAATAACATATTTAACAGGTGTGAAAATCAAACACTTCTGACGTGAGGTAATGCTCTAATACCGTCAGACTGTGTGATATAAAGAAACAGTAAAATAATTAAATTAAAAAGTGCAGATTATACGTTGAATTATCAGAATTTTCATCCATTTATTTTCTTTCTGGTTGAAATAATCATCCCTTTCCTTTTTTTTTCTCCGTTTCTCTTCCCAGAACATGATCTTTTTACCTAATCTCTTTTAAAGTTGTTTTCCCTATTTGGAGCAAGAAAACATGGCAACCTGTTTGCAAAACAAACCAACTTGGTTTAGGTATTTTCTGACACTATACAAAGTAATACATTATTTTAAAAATAAAGTAAAGTGAGCAAGACATCGATCGTTATCGGCCATTTGTGGCATCTTTTAAAGGCAGATATATTGCAGGAAGTAATGAGAGTTTGGAAGTAATTAATCAAAACTAACATCTTTCAAGTGTGTTATGAAAGAATACCAAATACATGCAAAAAGTCTAAAAAAAATAAAACTGCAGATTTCACGTTATTGAGTCACTGTTTGTGGGCGTGGCCTCTTTCTGAAATCATCACCACTCTTCTTCCTCTGCTGTCTCTTTTTTGTTGGATAAACTTTGTGCTGAAGATGATAATGAGCACCGATCTGCAGTTAAAAAATATAAAACATCACTTCTTCATGTGTTTGTTTTTTGGCAGCTTTGACACACTGTGTTTGAGGTCACTTTTTACACCTGCATCCTTATCTTCATCTCCACCTAAATCTCCTCTTCATCATGTCCTCCCATTCTCCTTCACCTCCTCGTCTTCCTCTCAGCTCCATGGAGGAATCTCCTCTCCAAATTTGGCGCAGTGCGCTGAGTTCTTAGCTTCAAACAGAATCTAAAGGAACAAAAAGTGCAGGCGTTTATTTCGGTAAAATATGTGTTATTATTAATATAATAATCTTAACAATCATGATAATTATAAAGTACTTTATATTAGCGCTTTATTTGCTGTGAAGTTAAATATATCTTGGAATAGCTCCCAAATAAAGGTATTTCAACTTTAAAAACAATAAAACAAGGCATATAAGTACAATCTTTAATAGAAACATCCTAAGGGGGAATTAGAAATAAAACAAATCCTTTATTCTCATTAATTATACAAATAAAATCTCTTAACTTCAAATGTTAAGAATAATATTAAAAAATATAAAATAATAAAAGTTAACCTCAGAACCAATATGTCTATAACAGTCTGTGCTCATGGAACAAATACAAAATACAAATCATATCATTATAAATGCCATAAAATAATAATAGCATTAATATATTATATTTGTAAAAACCCCAATACAAGTTTGGAAAAGAAATACAATAATAATAATGATAATAATAATATCAATAAAACGAATAAAGCCTCACCTGGTTGTGCACGTAGGCCTCACACAGGTAGCACCACACAGACAGGTCACAGAAGCTCAGCACCATCGGGTGTTCAGACACAACGCCGTGAGTCACCATGTGCTCGTTAACATAACGACCGCAGAACACCTGAGACAGGAGGACAGCAGGTGAGACGCCTTACATCATCAACAGGTGAGACAGAGTGTGTGATGAGGGGTGAGAAAGTGTGTGTGATGGAGGGGTGAGACAGTGTGTGTGATGGAGGGGTGAGACAGTGTGTGTGATGGAGGGGTGAGACAGTGTGTGTGATGGAGGGGTGAGACAGGTCACCTGGTAGCAGGTGAGACAGTGTGTGTGATGGAGGGGTGAGACAGTGGGTGTGATGGAGGGGTGAGACAGGTCACCTGGTAGCAGGTGAGACAGTGTGTGTGATGAAGGGGTGAGACAGGTCACCTGGTAGCAGGTGAGACAGTGTGTGTGATGAAGGGGTGAGACAGGTCACCTGGTAGCAGGTGAGACAGTGTGTGTGATGGAGGGGTGAGACAGAGTGTGTGATGGAGGGGTGAGACAGGTCACCTGGTAGCAGGTGAGACAGAGTGTGTGATGGAGGGGTGAGACAGAGTGTGTGATGGAGGGGTGAGACAGGTCACCTGGTAGCAGGTGAGACAGAGTGTGTGATGGAGGGGTGAGACAGAGTGTGTGATGGAGGGGTGAGACAGAGTGTGTGATGGAGGGGTGAGACAGGTCACCTGGTAGAAGGTGAGACAGAGTGTGTGATGGAGGGGTGAGACAGAGTGTGTGATGGAGGGGTGAGACAGAGTGTGTGATGGAGGGGTGAGACAGAGTGTGTGATGGAGGGGTGAGACAGAGTGTGTGATGGAGGGGTGAGACAGAGTGTATGATGGAGGGGAGAGACAGAGTGTGTGATGGAGGGGTGAGACAGAGTGTGTGATGGAGGGGAGAGACAGTGTGTGTGATGGAGGGGTGAGACAGAGTGTATGATGGAGGGGAGAGACAGAGTGTGTGATGGAGGGGTGAGACAGAGTGTATGATGGAGGGGAGAGACAGAGTGTGTGATGGAGGGGTGAGACAGGTCACCTGGTAGCAGGTGAGACAGATCCAGTTCTCAGCCTCGGAGCCACAGTCCTTACACGACTGGAAGATGTCGATACCTGCCGGGGGGAGGGGCTTAACGACGTCCAGGTGAGGACACCAGGAGAGAGGGTCCACCACGTAGAGAGGGGTCTGAAGACAGACAGGCAGAGAGAGAGACACGTTGGTAATGTGAAGATAGACGGTATATATAAAGAACAAGATAACAGAGTGGTGCAGGAATGAGTCATAAAACTCAGAAATGAGTTAGCCTTTAGTGTTTTTCTTTAGAAGCCTGAAATAAGTTCTGTGGTTAATACAAGTTTAAAAGTTTACTTTTATTTATTTTACAAGTGTCTAAATGAGATGTCTAAACATCATAATATAGAACATTAGCCACCTTTAGCTTCATGTGACCGTAATGTAGTTACCTCATAGCCTAATGTTGGCTTGTGATTGCATCTACACTTAAACAATCCTAAAGTAGTGTTAATATGTGGAGATGATCCTGCTGAACAAAATATGTCATAAACGAGTGTTGGCAACAGAGCTTATTTTCTGCAAAAATCCGAAAATTAAATTGCTTTTTGAGAGAACCAGGGAGGAGCTAACTTCCCAGTCAATACAAAAACAATGCATCACTGCACCACTATTTAAATATGGGATTATAAAAAAAATGTCAAGACAAAAAAATTCATAAATAATATTCTCTGACATTCGCCTGTCCTCCACACGTCAGCTCCAGAGAGGTCTGAGGCTTCGACCAGCCACACGCTCCGTCCTCCTCCGGTCCCGCCCCTGCTTCACTGGCAGGCTTGTCTCCAGGGGCAACTGACTCTGGAGCTGCCACGGCAACATCCTGCCGCGTAAAAAATGTGTAAAAAACATGAGAAAAGTTATACGATTTTTAATAAGATGGGATGTAAACACTAACAGACCGGAGAGATTATGGAGGATGAAAACAGCCGAAAGCTAATATAAATAAATTCAAATGCCATTTAATGTACCAAAAGTGATATTTAAAAAATGTATCCATGTATTCTTTACTTTATTGATATAAATCAACATTTTGTTCTTGTTTATATATATTTTAAGCGCTTTGAGCACCAGGAAAAGTGCTGTATAAATAACATGTATTATTATTATTACGATATCTAACACTATAAAGATCTGACTTCCTGCTCACCTGAGGTTGTGTACTGTCAGCTGATTGGCTGTTCTCAGGTGTCACTGCAGATGACTCCACCTTCTCCGGGCTTTGGCGTACCTTCGGCCTGGCCCCGCCCACTTCTGTGGATTTAGCAGGAGTGTGATTGGCTGAAGTTTGACTGATATCCAAACCGGCCAATCCCTGCGTGAGCTGCTCCAGACCACACTCCGTCTGATTGGACTAGAAAAACAACAATAAGGAGAAACACAATTTTAGATTTGATTAATTTTCTTGCTTCTAATTTTAATCTACAAAGGTGCTTTCATATCTACCGTTGTTTTCTCCGATTCTGAAGGGGGCAGAGGGGGTTTGTTTGTGCTGCCTTGCTCTGACTTCTTGCCTTTTCCTTTAAAAATACGTTTCCCACGATGCTTTGGGGAAGGCAGAGACACCCGGACAGACTCTGGGACTGAAAAAAAAGTAATAAAGTAAATAAAATGAAACAAAAAAGAAACAAATTGAATTGATTTCAAAATAACTGACTGCGTATCCGTAGCGACTTCCAGTAGGGGGCGTGGTGTCGGATGACCTCGTTGATCGTTGCCACGGCGTTGTGATGAGGAGGGGGGAGGGGCGTCGCCAAAGAGGGAGGAGGGTCTCCTAGCAACACGCTTGTGCACATCGCCATGGAGTCAGAGATGGATGACAGGTTATAACCTCCCTGAGAAAAAGAGAAATGTCATGTACATTTAGTTTTTAAATATTTGTATTGGTATTGACAATAAACGTGATATTTACAACACAAAATATTGTTATCATGTTAATACAATTGTGTAAATAATCCAGCATCTTTAAATCATTTCCGTTTCTTTCTATTTTCCCTTTGTCTGCCTCCACCAAAAGATAAATATACATTGTTATTGCCAGCATTATTATCATTCATTTCTTGTTCAAAATAGCATCATATTTTTGCTGTGAATCCAAACTATTGCAATAATCATGTAAATAAGATTACATTTTATGAAAAATATAAACATTTTGGAACTTTTCTTTAATGGAAAATTAAATGATATGGTTATTAATTAAGATAAATACAAAACATCATATGCAAATAGTATATACATATCATTATAATTGTCAATTTGACCGTCACAGGATTATTTCACATAATCATCAAATCCATGTCATAAGAAAGTGTGTGTGTGTGTGTGTGTGTGTGTGTGTGTGTGTGTGTGTGTGTGTGTGTGTGTGTGTGTGTGTGTGTGTGTGTGTGTGTGTGTGTGTACCTCCAGTATATGTAGGACCCGCCCCCCAGCCAGTGACATCAGCAGGTGAGTCAGGTGGGCGTATCCCTCCGGCGTCATATTGTACCCCCCCAGTGGATCCCCTCGAGCGGCATCGAACCCGGCCGACACCAGAACCAGACCGGGGTTAAACTGCGGGGAGAGAGCAGACCAATCAGAGTGTGTTCCTGTGTGTTTATGTATGTGTGTGTGTGTGTGTGTGTGTGTGTGTGTGTGTGTGTGTTACCTCGGTGGCGATCGGCATGATGACGCTGTGAAAGGCAGCGAGGTAGTCGGAGTCGCCCATCCGCCCGCCGCTCCACGCCACGTTGACGTTAAACCCCGCCCCTTTAGACACGCCCACCCTGTCCGGGGCGGCGTCCAATGAGGACGGGAAGAACGATCCGTTGTCATAGCGATGGAGCGAGATGTACAGGACGCTGGAGACGGAGAGAAAATCCATCGTCACTTCAACTCCAAGTCACTTTAATTCACAACAAATTAATTTAGTCGACTTTACGTCACTTTAATGCTCACCTGTCGTCGTCCTCGAACATATGCTGCGTCCCGTTGCCGTGGTGAACGTCCCAGTCCAGGATGAGGACTCGCAGCGGTGCATCATGGGATATTTTCTGTGCGTGGCGAGCTGTGACGGCTGCCGTGTTGAAGAAACAGAAACCACACGGAGAGTCTTTCTCTGCGTGATGACCGGGAGGACGGACGATCGCCACGCCGTTACTCACCTGGAGAGGAAACAGGAACATTTAAATCAATCATTTTATTTATACAGCCCGATATCTCATAACACAATCTGTAAAGCGTACCATGTCTCACCCTGAGCTGCACAGTACATATTAGGGATGGGAATTTGAAAGCAAATGTATATTCGAATATTCGACCCCCCAAAAAAGGGTTAACCGGTTAACCGAAATGTACATGTCCTATAAAAAAAAAATTGGGTAACATTTTTTTTTCTAAAGTATTTTTTCGAAAAAGATTTTTTCAATAACTTTTGGAAATAAATAAATACATGTTCAAATAAGTATAGAAACCAAGTCGAATTTGTCAAATGTATTGAACTGGTGATCACAGTTTGACAGCTATAGGCCTACAGCTTTCATGTGCGGAGGTGATTCACAATCAGGCCAGCTGTAGAGAAGACCCTCTCAGCTGGAACGGAGGTTGCGGGTATAGCAAGGTATAGTATGTATATAAGTTTAATTTGGCATAGTTTGCACTCTACACCGCACTCACTAACCTTTGCACTCTACACCGCACTCACTAACCTGGTCGAAATATTTCCACACATTACTCCTTTTTGACGCCATGTCTGTTGTGTAGGACTCTTCTTAGAGTGTAAATAATTACCGGACTATGACTGGTAAAATATGTTGAATACCGGCAAAACTAAATCTCTCCTGTCAAAATGTCTATGTACTTTGCCGCCACACACGGTTGCCAAGCAGCGCTTATTGTTGTTTAGGCTGGCCACTCATGTGTCGCGAGTGTTGACAGGGGGCGGGGGAGCACGCTCATGAACTGTTAGCGCCGGAACCTCGCAACGGCTGCGGAGCGCATTTGCGCCGCATTTGGGCCGCATTTGGGCATAAGATGAGGTTTGAGTCTGCGTGAGTTTCGTGTAGGCAGGGGCAGCAGCCATATCATTAGCTAGAACTAGCTAGATCTGATGGATTTGGACATAAACGCGAGTGAATTACCGGACGCGAGAGAGAGAGATCAGCACCTGCAGCTCTGCCCGCTGTGAGGGGCCGGTGAGCGGAGCAAAACACACCTTTAGACATCACCTAACACATTTAGCTATGGCACTGTCGTATACATTGAATTATTCAATTTGATAATATGTAATCAACTTAGGCATCCCTCCCAAAAAAAGAAAAAAAAAAAATTAATAAAAATATTCATAACTCATATTGGAATACCTGAATAATTATTCGAACACCTGAATCATTTCGAATATTCGATTAATCGTTCCCATCCCTAGTACATACACTATGTGCAGTAACGCCACCTCAGCACTGAACGAATAACTATTTTTGTATTATATATTACCATAATAGTTCACCAAAATGTCTTTCCGAAAACAATCTGCAGTCAGTTTCTGTTTCCTCAATTTTTCTTCTACTTCAATCTATTTTCTACATTGGCTATTTTAAACCGTTTTCTCCGGGAGTTTCCAGAGGAAGGAGGACTATGCAGCACATGCAATAATGTATTTCCTGTGCGTCTGCCTGCGCAATCAGTTAAGCACTTTGGGTATCAAATGTACTGTATAAAGGCATATTCCTTGCCTTGCCTTGTATACGTTTGGTCGTGTGCAGCGTTACCATATGCAACATGCACCTTATACAGTATGTGCTCTAAATCTGAACCTTATCCAAATATATTTATACATTAATGTACATTACTACAACATTGTTTGTTGAAACCCCAGGCACTTTTCACTTTCTGGTTGGATGCAAACTGCATTTTGTTGTTCAATAAAGTTGAATCTAATCTAACATAAACAAACGTCTAGATGTATTTTTCAACTTTTTTGTAGTATGTTGATGTGGTGTTTGGTACAGTTCGACAAACAACATGTACTGTATACACAAACTAAAGCAAAGTGATGTATGTGACTGAACTTGTGTGTGTGTGTGTGTGTGTGTGTGTGTGTGTGTGTGTGTGTGTGTGTGTGTGTGTGTGTGTGTGTGTGTGTGTGTGTGTGTGTGTGTGTGTGTGTGTGTGTGTGTGTGTGTGTGTGTGTGTGTGTGTGTGTTAGTTACCTCTCCTGAGAGGATCCTCTCCACAGCGCTGAAGCAGCCTCCTGCAGCCAGCAGAGCGCACTGGTAGCTCTGGTTGTTGATGAAGATGGAGTTAAACTCCAGACCCAGTTTGTGCAGATCTCTGGGCTTCATCTCTGCTGTGGCCTTCATCTGCTCGATGTGCTGCACACTGCACACACACAATAACACACACACACTTATTTTCTGACAGTTTCAGGCCTACACCAGATATTTTTTTTGTATGATCTCTCTAAATGTTTACATACCTGTGACAGGTGGAGAGCTCCTCCTCTGTTGCTAGGCGAACTGGTATCCGTTTGCAACGACCAACCAATCCCAGCTGCTGATGTTTGGAGAAGATTTTAAAGATCCTCTGAGGCTGTTCAGGGTGATGTCTGCGGAGACAAGGTTTATTCATATGATTACAATCTTACATAAACAGTATATAAATATCATTAAAATTGTGTTTTATGATCCTACACAAGCTCTCAGATCTCCTACTGCTTAAATACACACACAATAAAAAGGTAGCAAAATGTCTCCCGAAAATAAAAAAATTAAAAAAAGTTGTCATTTAGAAAATAAAAATTGGTCCTGCTGTTACTTTATATATATAATATACATATAGAGTGTATCTGCAGGTGGAGGTCACTCACCTGTCCCACAGGTTCAGGTGCTCCATCATCTTCTCATCATAAACCAGACCTGTTGTCCTGGCAACAGAGGGAGGCGGGTCAGTGTGCTTTGTGCTTTTCTCATTGGCTGTTGCTCTGATGACATGCCCCTCAGCCAATCGGCTGCCTTCTGCAACAGAAAAACAAAGAGAACAGGAAGTTAATAAAACTGAATTTGACATACTGGATGTAAAGAGACAACATTGTGTTATAAAATAACATGGATCCTTAACTCTCTACTCATTTGATTGTACTGGATAATGTTCCACTAAATGAATAGAGATAAATAATAAAACTCTCACCGAGTGTTTGCAGTGAGGCCCAGTGGGGATACAGAGCTGAGACCGTCTGAGAGATGGACTGCAGAGCACTGACACAGACACACAGACACACAGACACACAGACACACAGACACACACACACACACACACACACACACACACACACACACACACACACACACACACACACACACACACACACACACACACACACACACACACACACACACACACACACACACACACACACACACACACACACACAGTTAGATATATATAGCAGCAGTTATTGATTAGCTCAGGTGTGTCTCAGGTGTTCCAGATGTTACCTGTCAGACGGAGCATAGGGCGGAGTCAGGAAAGGGCAGGCTCCTCCCAGCAGAGCTCTGACACACGCTGCAGCGCCCTCTGCTGTCGACTGCAGGTCATAACCCCCCTATACATACACACACATATATAAATAGAATGAGTAAAAAGTATACAGCATACATACACTGATGATGTGAAAGGGATTTTACCTCGAGAGCGAGAACAAGTCGACCTTCTGCCAAACTCATCAGCATGTGAGTCAGAACGTGGAAACACTGAGGATTCACACACATCCCGCCCTGAACACACACACACACACACACACACACAGATTAAGATATTATTAAACCAATGAATGAATACTCATTTGTATCAGTGCTCCCAGGTCAGTGGAGTTTTCACCTTCTCATCTCCGACGGCAGCATCAAATCCAGCAGAGACCAGGACCAGCTGAGGCTGAAACTGAAAACACACACAAATATTGATACATAACATATATCAGTATTCAGGGATGCAAACTCATCAGGTATGAAAAAGGTGACAAGGATCCGAGCCCCCCGACCCCACGGAATATCGGCTTTAAAATGAGGAATAACAGAGGATTTTAGCAGTCAGAACAACTAAAGCAGCAGTTAATAATAACAGAAACGCCAAAGAGTCACATCTAATAGAAATATATTTAAGCATTTATTTTAATTGTGTAGCAGTCAGTTTATAATTTTGGCAGGACTGTTGAGCATTTTGAAAATGTATTTTCATGCCTGTGCAAGGCTGTCTTTCTATCTTTATAGCCAGTGGTGTAAAGTAACTAAGTTCATAAACTCAACAAGTACTATACTTGGGTACAATTTTGAGATACTTGTACTTTATTTAAGTATTTCAATGTTTTGCTACTTTGTTCTTCTTCTCCACTACAGTTCAGAGGTAAATGGTGTACTTTTCCTCCACTACATGTATTTAATACCTTTAGTTACTTCACAGATGTGGATTAATGATGTGAAATATAATCAAGTGTTAAATCAGACTTTAGTTCCACCTGGAGTAAATTCACAAGCTACCCTGCAGTATACAAAGTCATTCAAACTAGCTGCACCTTTACCAGCTTTGAGAACACTTTCATGATCAATCATTATAAAACACATCATATATATTATTCTGAAATGGACCAATCTGCACAATGACTACTTTTGCTGTTGCTACTTTAACTATATTTTGATGATAATACTTTTCTACTTTTACTTGAGGAACATTTTGAATGCAGGACTTTTACTGTAACAGAGTATTCCTACACTCTGGTACTTCTACTTTTACTCAAGTACAAGATCTGAGTACTTCTACTTTTACTCAAGAACAAGATCTGAGTACTTCTACTTGTACTCAAGTACAAGACCTGAGTACTTCAACTTTTACTCAAGTACAAGATCTGAGTACTTCTACTTTTACTCAAGAACAAGATCTGAGTACTTCTACTTGTACTCAAGTACAAGACCTGAGTACTTCAACTTTTACTCAAGAACAAGATCTGAGTAGGCCTACTTCTACTTTTACTCAAGTACAAGATACTTATACCACCTCCGTTTATAGGCTATGAAAGAAACTATTTGAAAACGAAGGCTAAAGCTAAACGTTAGCAGATAGTGACAATGTATGCTAGTTAGCTAGCTCAACGATTCATTAAATAATATTGCGACAGAAACAGTTTTCAGTGCACATCACGCTCTGCTGCTCCGAACACCCCGTTCTAACCAGCGGTCCAGTCTGTGCCACAGTGACTCTGGACCGCACAGTTAATATTAACGAACGCACCGTAGGTAATGTAGCTGCTGAAGCTAGACCCTCATCCCGGAGCAGCAGAGCCTTATTATACATCCATGAGCAGAGCTGACAGGCAGGAAGACTTGTGCTCGCGCTTCATTATAATATATAAAAAAAGAACACCATGCGTGTCATGATGGCACATAACAGCTCGCGGCTGCAGATTACTCCGGGTCCCAGACCCCCCCCAATACCCCAAAAATATTTTTATTGCAGATCTACATGAATCACACAAACGACCTATTTTGGAATCAAAACGGCGAATTTCGCCGAAAGGTGACAAGTTTGCATCCCTGAGTATTACTCGTTTATAAACAGCAAGATGTTTCCTCGTTCTGTCCGGTGTTACCTCGTAGGCTACGGGCAGCAGCAGTTGTTGAAAAGCTGCGATGTAATCAGCGTCTGTCATCCCCGTCTGCAGGATCAATGACACAGAACAGGATTTTAAGAGGTGTGAAAAGTAAAGAGTGACAACAATTTCTTGCACAAAATATACAGTCTTTTCCCTTATTCTGGATACTGCAACAAAGCTGTTTATATAGCGAATACAAATGTATTCATATTAAGCTAACACTCCGGTTTACATGTACTCGTGTATACTCGATTAAATCAGTTTTTGTGGCTTACTTGTAAACCTGTGCTATCAAACCCTCTCTCTTTGATCCTTCTAGAAAAGGTTGGTATTGTGGAAATACCTGTTGATATCCATGTATTTTTTAATGTTTAAAAAGTAGGTTTGTTTCTCCTTCCCACAGTAAATCTGGGCGTTTCTTTCAGGTATGCATCTTTACTCCATCCTTGCAAACTGAAGGCCTTTGTGTTTCGTGTATAAACAACAAAGCTGGCCAAGAAAAAGACTGTGTAAGGCTGTGTGTCGCAAACTACAGTAAACCGAGCATTCAAGTCTTAACTGGGGTCAATTCAATTTTGAATGCTCTGTATACATTTCCAAATGCTCCTCAAACCAAAAATAATATTGGCATTTTCCACAAGGTCTATATCTGAATATCCGACCAGAATATGCTGTTTTACCCCTGCATTGATAAGAGTAGTGTGAAGTGTGCACCTTGTTCCAGGGCAGGTTGATGTTTCTGCCTTCAGCTCGTCCGCTGCCGACAAACTGACTGTCAGACTCCGACAGGTGAGGCCAGAAAGACCCCTCCTCATACCTGTGCACACTGAAGTACAGGACACTGACACACACACACACACACACACACACACACACACACACACACACACACACACACACACACACACACACACACACACACACACACACACACACACACACACACACCACACACACACACACACACACACACCACACACACACCCACACACACACACACACACACACACACACACACACACACACACACACACACACACACACACACCACACACACACACACACACACACACACACACCACACACACACACACACACACACACACACACACACACACACACACACACACACACACACACACACACACACACACACACACACACACACAATATTAACGTGGTGGATTTTATTGTCAGTGTTTGCTATTTTCTTTGAGAATTTGTAACCAGGATTTGATTTGATCAGGAGTTTACCTGGGGTCGTCCTTGAACTGGTACTGGATACCCTGACCGTGATGAACATCCCAGTCCACTATCAACACCCTGACACACACACACAAATCACGTTTATAGAAACAATAAGACTTGCTGGTACCGAGTTATTATGTAACAATAATAACTCTGAGCTTTCATTCAAACATGCTGAACGAAAGCTCAGAATGATAATCAATGTAAGAATAATAGCCTGACAGGAAGTGACACACACACACACACACACACACACACACACACACACACACACACACACACACACACACACACACACACACACACACACACACACACACACACACACACACACACACACACACACACCACACACACACACACACACACACACACACACACACACACACACACACACACACACACACACACACACACACACACACACACACACACACACACACACACACACACACACACACACCTGCGGACTGAGTGTCTGGTCTGAGCGTATCGTGCTGCGATCGCCACGTTGTTGAAGATGCAGAAACCGTTGGACATGTCAGACTGAGCGTGGTGACCTGGAGGTCTGACAGAGAGAGAGGGAGGAACATGTTTTAGGAAGCTGAAGTTCTTGTTAACGAGGAACACCTGAACGCACCACCAGAAGCTGCAGTTGTTACCTGACGACGGCAAATCCGTTCCTGAGTTCAGAGGTCATCACCTGATCGACCAGCTGCAGGACTGAACCCACCCCCTTCACACACACCTGGAAAGACTCCTGACACACACATATAGAAATGTTATAAAACAGAAATGCATTTTTTTTGTATTTGCAGCAGGTAATTTAATAGTTTTATTTACAGGATTTAAGAGTTTTTTTATATACAGTTTCATTTAAATGTTATTTACCAATTTATTTACAGTTGTGTTAAGTTTCATATACCATTTTTTGCTTATAGTGTTAACAGTTATTCAATTAAAAAAAAACATATTTGTTGTTTAAAGAATATGCATACAGTATACTGTACATATTTACCGATATACAGTATGTATTTTTGGACTACTTTTTTTCTGTGAAGCCAAGTTAATATTGTGTGAGTGTGTGAGTGTGTGTGAATGTGTGTGTGTGTGTGTGTGTGTGTGTGTGTGTGTGTGTGTGTGTGTGTGTGTGTGTGTGTGTGTGTGTGTGTGTGTGTGTGTGTGTGTGTGTGTGTGTGTGTGCTCTTACAGGATGAATGTACACCGAGTCGTATTTCTCTGACAGAGTTTGAAGTTCACTTTCTGTCATCGTCTGCGTCGACCTCATCAAATCCACATATTGTTTCCTACAGACACACACAGGAAGGTAAAGTAGATTAAAGTACAACTTCAGACACATTAAATATTAAACATTTTTTAAGTGTTTGCAACTCACGTGTGAGAGAGCAGCAGCTCTTCTTCTGCAGCTTCTCTGGGCTGAAACAGACAGTTGAGGCGTAAGAACTGGACGCATTGTGAATTACTGTAAAACCTCTCAAATACAGTGCATTTTCTATTTCCTTGGAGCATTATCGACATTAGTGCCATTGTGCTGGCAATCAGTGACAGCCTGGTGTTGATGGCCAATCACACACACCCTCTCAGTTCTGAATTTGCACTCTTACCTTCAGAGTGTAGGTTTAATAGGCCGCGGATGCAAACTACACACCATATTCAGCTGCTTAGAGGGGTCCTATTATGCTGATGTTCAGGTGTATATCAGTATGTAGTGTCTCTACTTTAAAGAGTCCTCTCCTGCTGATGTTCAGGTGTATATCAGTATGTAGTGTCTCTACTTTAAAGAGTCCTCTCCTGCTGATGTTCAGGTGTATATCAGTATGTAGTGTCTCTACTTTAAAGAGTCCTCTCCTGCTGATGTTCAGGTGTATATCAGTATGTAGTGTCTCTACTTTAAAGAGTCCTCTCCTGCTGATGTTCAGGTGTATATCAGTATGTAGTGTCTCTACTTTAAAGAGTCCTCTCCTGCTGATGTTCAGATGTATATCAGTATGTAGTGTCTCTACTTTAAAGAGTCCTCTCCTGCTGATGTTCAGGTGTATATCAGTATGTAGTGTCTCTACTTTAAAGAGTCCTCTCCTGCTGATGTTCAGGTGTATATCAGTATGTATTGTCTCTACTTTAAAGAGTCCTCTCCTGCTGATGTTCAGGTGTATATCAGTATGTAGTGTCTCTACTTTAAAGAGTCCTCTCCTGCTGATGTTCAGGTGTATATCAGTATGTAGTGTCTCTACTTTAAAGAGTCCTCTCCTGCTGATGTTCAGGTGTATATCAGTATGTAGTGTCTCTACTTTAAAGAGTCCTCTCCTGCTGATGTTCAGATGTATATCAGTATGTAGTGTCTCTACTTTAAAGAGTCCTCTCCTGCTGATGTTCAGGTGTATATCAGTATGTAGTGTCTCTACTTTAAAGAGTCCTCTCCTGCTGATGTTCAGGTGTATATCAGTATGTATTGTCTCTACTTTAAAGAGTCCTCTCCTGTTGATGTTCAGGTGTATATCAGTATGTAGTGTCTCTACTTTAAAGAGTCCTCTCCTGCTGATGTTCAGGTGTATATCAGTAGGTAGTGTCTCTACTTTAAAGAGTCCTCTCCTGCTGATGTTCAGGTGTGTATCAGTGTGTAGTGTCTCTACTTTAAAGAGTCCTCTCCTGCTGATGTTCAGGTGTATATCAGTATGTAGTGTCTCTACTTTAAAGAGTCCTCTCCTGCTGATGTTCAGGTGTATATCAGTAGGTAGTGTCTCTACTTTAAAGAGTCCTCTCCTGCTGATTTTCAGGTTCATATCAGTATGTAGTGTCTCTACTTTAAAGAGTCCTCTCCTGCTGATGTTCAGCATGGTTAGCTGGCCGGCTCTGTTGTGATTGGTCAACATCTTAGAGATGGTTTTTAATATATAAAAGTGTGTTAATGTAAGACAACCTGTGGGTAAATATTAATAAAGTCAAGGCTCATCTGTTTCTGCGTGTCACTTTTGTCTTTTCCAATATTCACCCACCACCTCACGTTAACACCCTGCTGTGAGTTTAATCAGTGTTCAGCTGCTGTGAACATTGTCGGTGAACATTATGCAACTTAGCCGATGTTCTAATTAAGATTCCTCAATTTATATAAGAAAAAACCTTTTCAGGGAGGCACAAGTTCAACCCCACCATGACAGCCACTGCAGTTTAAATTACTCGTGTGGGTATTGTCCACAGAATTCAATGTATTACATGTCTTATATATGTAATAATGGGCGGCTGTGGCTCAGTGGCTAGAGTGCTGGACTTCGAATCAGGGGGTAGCAAGTTCGAGTCCCACTGCAGTCAGCATGTCGTTGTGTCCCTGGGCAAAACACTTCACCCCAAATTGCTCCTGTGGGGATTGTCCACAGTATTGAATGTATGTAAGTCGCTTTGGATAAAAGAGTCTAACAAATTACATGTAATGTAACATGTAATAAGTATTATTATTATTAATACATGATTGCAGGAAAGTGACCGACCTCCACCGTGACGCAGTGAGACAGCAGCTCCTGTCTCTGCAGCTCCTCCATGATGGACGTCACTCTGTCGGGACATTCTGGATGACTGGACAACAAACACAACCATCATACATCAGATACACCTTGTAATCAAAATTCAGTTGTATCAAGAGTATGTCCCAATCATAGACTATAGGGTGTAAATATGATTCAGTCTGTCTACATTTACACCTGGTAGTTAGATATATCTACAGTATCCATAATGACATCCAAACACACTGACGAGCTCAAACAGCAGGAGTCAGCATAAAAAAAGCAAATATATTTATAAAAGATGGTGAACATCCACGAAGCTATTGTATGACTTTGTTATTGCTTGTTTTCCCTCGCCGGAGAGAAAAGCAGAGGAGACCTTTACAAATTAAAACTAGTTATGTTATGCTATCTTATTTGGAGAAGATCAATCACACATTTCCAGCACTGGAAATGTGTGATTTCATTGAAGTTTGATTGTGTTCAATGCGATCACTACCAGAGGTGGTTAGGTGCACCCTCAAAGTGTTTCTGGGTAAATGTACTTTATGTGGACAAGTACTATCCCATTGGCAAGGTGTGAAGATGTAAAGGAAACATAAGTATGCAGGTGTGCAGGTTACCTGGAGTCCCACAGGTTCTTATGATGAGTGAAGATCTCAGAGTAAACCAGACCTGTTCCTCTGGCTGCTGATTGGCTGGACAGATCCTGCACACACAAACACACATTCATGCATACAAAGGTTATATAAATACAAAATAAACTGTTCCTGGCTGGCGTGAAGAAAGTTTTATTAACATTATTCTATAACGTCTGATGTGAGAGTCTCACCAGTGTCTGCAGTTTGTCGTTCAGCTCCTCCTCGTCTTCATCTCTGCTCCTCTCCATCTTTCCTCTCCTCTTCGCCTCCTGCAGACTGCTTCCTCCTTTCCCCTCCTCCTTTTCTTTACTGCTGCTGCTGGTGCACTGAGAACACAAACATCAACATTGAAAACACACAGTGACCTCTCTGATCATGATAATGAATAAATAAAATGATAATAATACATTTTTGATCCCACAAGTGGCAAAAAGTTTTTAAGAATAAATAAGGACAACAAAATAAAGAGAAAACAGCAGGAGAGAAGAGAGCTGCTCTCTCGTTGAATCCTGTTGAAGTCTGACTGAAAAGTATAAGTCGTTCATGTATTAACACGAAACATAGACAGGTGGACCTGAGGTCAAACTCCAACTCAGGTGAATGATTGAAAGCTGAAGCAATAATTCTTCTACTGATTTTTGTCAATTAATGAATTGGGTTAGGTGATATGTTTACATTTTCCAACGTGCCGCTGACAGACCTGCGTGTGTGTGTGTGTGTGTGTGTGTGTGTGTGCGTGTGTGTGTGTGTGTGTGTGTGTGTGATATTACATTTTTTTGAGCATCCTGTTTGTTTTATTTCTATTAAAATGTTTTGTATTTATTTATTTTCCTGCATCGGTCACTTATTATTAATGCTGGACAGATTATTATGATACAGTTTCGTAAAGCAGGTACATGTCTCTCTGCTTTTAAGGAAAATAAACTTTTAAACAAACAAAAAAAAAGTATACTTTTTATCTTTGAATATATATATTACTTACTGAACCTGGAAAGTGTTATTTTGATGTTGATTTCTGCTGAAAGAACTTAATATGTAATAACTGATTAAAACATTTCTCAGAAAGATAGTTTCTGTAGATACAAGTACACATTATTTTATTATATTAAAACGCAATACAGCTTATATTTCACCATGCTACCATCTAGGGGCTTTTATTCTGAAAGTAGCGTTGTATGGGCTACTGCAGGGGTGTCGAACTCAAATACACAGTGGGCCAAAATTAAAAAATGGGTACTAGTCGAGGGCCGGACTGGTTCAATGTTTATTGCAAAACTTATTGAAATGAACTTATTGCACATATTAAACCTAGAAATAACAAAGCTTAAATTATTGCCTATAAAAACAACATTAAACATTAAATACTCAGTTGCATTCATTTCTTATGGCTCTATCTGCAGATTTTCCAGAGTCATTTCTTATGATTACATTTTCCCACAGGCCAACAACAGCTTCAAAAAAACTATTTCCCTCAAAGAAAAAAACTAACATGCCCTGTTGTCCAAAGAAAAAAAGTGCAGAAGGAAACATCCATTGAAATAAGGACAACAAAATAAAGAGAAAACAGCAGGAGAGAAGAGAGCTGCTCTCTCGTTGAATCCTGTTGAAGTCTGACTGAAAAGTATAAGTCGTTCATGTATTAACACGAAACATAGACAGGTGGACCTGAGGTCAAACTCCAACTCAGGTGAATGATTGAAAGCTGAAGCAATAATTCTTCTACTGATTTTTGTCAATTAATGAATTGGGTTAGGTGATATGTTTACATTTTCCAACGTGCCGCTGACAGACCTGCGTGTGTGTGTGTGTGTGTGTGTGTGTGTGTGTGTGTGTGTGTGTGTGTGTGTGTGTGTGTGTGTGTGTGTGTGTGTGTGTGTGTGTGTGTGTGTGTGTGTGTGTGTGTGTGTGTGTGTGTGTGTGTGTGTGTGTGTGAGCTGACAGACCTGAGGAGACAGACGGGGGGATCTTCTGACTGACTTCTTCCCAGATCCCGGAGAACCTGAACCAGACTGCATCTCTGAACCACCTGAAGGAAAAACAACAACAACAAACTCAGACTTAATCGAAAGAAGCAAACAAAACAAATAGGAATCACATTTGAGCTTATATGCTCATTCCAAGCTACACACAAACTCTTCATACTTTAAGCATTGTCCTCTACTAGGCGCCCTATTTTTTGTAATTGTCTCCTTCTTGACTTCTCTTGCACGATATGATAATATTTCCACCGTCTCAGACTCATGGCATAGCTTGCAAAGACCCTTTGGGTGATTTTCTAGGAAGAAAAGTGTGCTGAATTGTATAGGAAATGTATAAATCGCTATAACCTGCACACATCGGACATCAACATTTGCATTCAACACATGCATACAACCTCACTCACAAAACACGTATGTGCACCTGCCATAGAAATACATTTAAAAAGGGATATTCGTAGCATGACAAGCTACTCATGCACTATAAAAACATATTATCAAATACATAGAGTTATTCAACTTTCTCTCATTTAAACTGATTCCAAATATTGTCCTGTGATGTGAATTGTTCCAACAATGTTGATAAAGTCAATGTGCGTAATTCTCAGCCTCCCTATTAGTACTTTCTCTTTCATTTGAGTTCCTCTACTTCATAACAGACCAACCTGATTTGGAGTAATGTGATAACACCACTCTTTTATGATATTAGCACAATGCTGTTGTCACTGTTTATTTACCATACTCCACATTATGCCTTTCCTCTCTGATTTCTATAATGTATTGTTGATTTAAAACACTTTCCAAATTCCCATGATACCTGAATGTGCCACATGAACGAGATATTTTCAGAAATCATGACTATTCTTGCTGAAGATCCGGATGAATTCTGACTGTATTTTAATGTCTAAATGCTTGCAAGGGTGGACACAGTTAAGTATAACTATTCTGACCTTTCTAATGCCATCAGCAGTCCAGACAATTTGCAGACAGACAGACAGATAGATAGATAGATATTTTATTGATCGCAAATTGGGAAATGATTGTGTTGCAGCAGCAGTGTGTTCAGGCATTAACATATTTAAGAAGTCATCATAATTCAATCTACATAAACATAAACAGTAAGTATAAACATATCTACAGTAGAAAATACATATATCATAATAATACACAATATCAAATACTCATTTAAATAAAATGAAAACAATCAGATAATATCCATAGACTGTATATAATATCTTGAGTTACTAGCTTTTTATATGCAGTCACTAATCATGGTTACTAATCACAGCAGCTGCAGACTGGCTCCTTAAATACTTCTGTAAAAACGTGAACCCAGTCTTTATATTCATTATCTTATAAGTATTACAATAAATCAAATATTCCTGTGTTAAATCTAACAATAAATGCAGATCTACACCCGGATTGTCTGTTTCTCACACCGGTGTCTCAGTGTGTATGTTCTCCCTCTCACACAGAACCAGTTCGTGTCTCACACAGTGTTGGATAACTGCGGTTATATATCATAATTAAACAGTAAAATATCAAAATAATTAAGACTCACTTTTGCCACCTTCTGCTTGCTTCTTCTTCTTCTTCTTCTTCTTCTTGTATTTCTTTCTAAGCGCCAACTGAACGTCAAAACAGTCGCCCACATGTGACGTCACCACGTAGGGCGTCGGCCCGAACCAATGACGTCATATACAAATAAATGAATGGTTTGTTTGACTCTTTATATACAGTCTATCTATGGTTTGACTGCAAGAAATTGTACATGTGCAATTTGTCTAAATAAAAAAGCAGAACAACTTTTGCAAATTCATTTATTTAATTGTCATATTGTTCTTTTTTTATTTGTATTCAAATTGTCTGTACTTGCTTTTGTTTTTATTTAAGATGTGGCACATTTATTTCATTTCATTTCATTTCAAACCTTTATTTATCCAGGTTGTATCCCATTGAGATCATTGATCTCTTTTTCAAGGGAGACCTGCTCAAGTAGGTTCCACATGAAAAAAACATTAAAAACATAAACAGAGCAACAAAAGGACATCATACAGTATCATTACAGGGATTACAAATTACATACTATCCACATGCACAGGTACCAACAGCTTCCGATTCAGTAGCATCCAACCGAGCTTTAAAAACATTTAGTGGCACCAGATTGCTCAGTTTCCATTTAAATTGCAGACTATTCCAGGACAGTGGAGCTGCGCATCTAAATGCTATCTTCCCTAAGACAGTCCTAGCAGTTGGCACATTTAATAAAACCACAGCATGCGATCTCAGGCAGTAGCCACTTACAATTCGCCGTGAGATCAGGGAGCAGATGTAGGATGGAAGTTTCCCTAACATGGCTTTGTATATAAAAATGTACCAGTGACTGAGCCTCCGTACAGTTAGCGAAGGCAAACCAGCCCTTGCATACAGGGTACAGTGATGGGTTAATACTTTACAGTTTGTCACAAATCTCAGTGCACTGTGATACGCAGCATCTAACTTGACCAGGCAATTGGCAGGTGCATTCATATAAATCAAATCACCATAGTCCAGCACAGGTAAAAAGGTCACAGATGGCGCATTTCCATTGCAGCGCGTAGCTCGCTTTAAGCGTGCCGTGTCGTGCCGTCCCCTTTTTTGGTTGTGCTTCCACTAGGCCTCGTTCCGGCGCGGCACGGCGCGGGGCCACTTTTTCCCCTCTTTTCTGGCCCTAGAAAATTGTGGTTCTATCGGGGCCAACAAACAGGGCTGAGTCGGGCTGAGTATGCTAAACTAGAGAGAGGAGCGCTGGCAAGAGGGCTAGAACTACAACAAGATGGACATATTTGACCTTGATTTAATTGTAATACACGTTTCAAAATGATGCCGAAGTAACAACATACTGATACCGGTTAGTAAAAACCATGAATTAATGCTTTGTCAAGTCTGCAGACAGACGGCAGGCGAAAAACCTTTTAAAATTCGTGTTTTTCTAGATGGAGATTGGCTAAGCTAACGCAGTATATGCCCCGACCGTCCACACTCACAACAACGGCCTATACAGACATAAATAAAGCAGCGACTGTATTCACCATGACACAGGCAGTCTGTGGTTTGTACTTGTTTAACTTTTGTCGAGTTTCTGAACATATATAAGGAGCTGTGAGCTCTGAGTGCTCACAGCTAACGGCTGTGTTGTGTTTCTGGATTTCTCATTGAAGATGACGTCACGGCTCCGCCTACACTGCGTTACTATAGTAACTACCCCAGTTCCTAAACTGTAATGGAAGCGCAGCATGAAGTGAGTCGGCCCTGTTAAGGCCCAACGCGGCCAAGCCGTACCGAGCCGTACCGAGTGTGGCCGAGGCCGACCGTGTAGTGGAAATGCGCCAAGAGACTAGCCTTTTTCTGGCCTCGAGCGAGAAACAGGACTTGTTCCTGTAGAAGAAACCTAGCCTAACCCTCAATTTTTTAAGCAGGTTATTGACATGACGTTTAAAAGTGAGACAATCATCAAGCCAGATACCAAGGTATTTGTAACAGGCAACCACTTCAAGTTTTATTCCTTGCGTAGTTACAATATCTAAAACAGGCTCTGGTGTCTTTTTAGCTTTTGAAAAGAGCATTACCTTGGTTTTATCAACATTTAAAAGAAGCTTTAGTTCAGAGAGCTGAGTCTGAATAATGTTAAAAGCAGCTTGCAATTCAACAACAGCCTCCTTAATGGAGGGACGTGCACAGTACATAACGGTATCGTCCGCATAAAAATGTAAGGTTGCTCCATCGACATTTTCACCTAAACTATTGATGTAGATGGAGAATAAAAGTGGACCTAAAACAGAACCTTGAGGAACACCATTAGTAATGTTTAACCACTCAGAAGACAGCCCATCAAAATGAACACATTGGGACCTTTCAGAGAGGTAGTTCACAAACCACCCCACTGCATGGCTGGATAAGCCAATACTGAGTAGCCTCTGCTTTAAGATGCGATGATCGACGGTATCAAACGCTTTGGAAAGGTCAATAAATAGAGCTGCACAACTCTGCTTTTTATCTAAAATACTCGCCACATCATTCACCACTTTCATTGTGGCAGTGATGGTGCTATGTTGCTTTCTATAGCCTGACTGATGTTTAGACAGGATGTCATTTGTACATAAAAACACCTTTACCTGCTCACTCACTAGGCGTTCAAGAACCTTAGCCAGAACTGATCATTTAGAGATGGGCCTATAATTATTTAATAAAGTGGCCTCCCCACCTTTTAGTAGAGGCAGGACATACGCTGACTTCCACAATTTTGGAATTGTGTTTGTGCTGAGGGAGAGGTTAAAAAGAGTAGTGAGAGGTGGAGCAATAAAATCTGCAGCTATCTTTAAAAAGAAAGGTTCTACGTTGTCCGGGCCGGCCGGCTTCTTAGGATCTAACTTGGTTAAAGCTTCACGAACAACATCAACAGTAAAAGGAGTAAAACTAAAAGGGTTTTCCAAAACACGTTTTTCAGAGTCACAGACTGTGGTGTCAGAAGCAGAGTTAGTCACAGAATCAAACAGAGAGCCACAGGACACAAAATGCTCATTAAAACAATTTAACATATGGCGCGTTTCCACTACAGTGCGGAGCGCGGTTTAAGAGGGCTGTGACGTCAGCGGCCCGTCTTTGGTTGCGTTTCCACTTGGCCTAGTACCGGCCGGCGGGTCCTAATTCACAGTTTTTCTGGCCTCATAAAATCGCGGGTCTAGGGCCAGAGACAACGAGGCTGAGTCGGGCTGAGTATGCTAAACTAGAGAGAGCATCGCTGGCAAGGGGGCTACAACTACAACAAGATGGACATATTTGACCGTGATTTAATTGTAATACACGTTTCAAAATGATGCCGAAGTAACAACATACTGATACCGGTTAGTAAAAACCATGAATTAATGCTTTGTCAAGTCTGCAGACAGACGGCAGGCGAAAAACCTTTTAAAATGCGTGTGTTCTAAATGGAGATTGGCTAAGCTAACGCAGTATATGCTCCGACCGTCCACACTCACAACAACGGCCTATACAGACATAAATAAAGCAGCGACTGTATTCACCATGACACAGGCAGTCTGTGGTTTGTACTTGTTTAACTTTTGTCTAGTTTCTGAACATATATGAGGAGCTGTGAGCTCTGAGTGCTAACAGCTAACGGCTGTGTTGTTTTTCTGGGGTTCTCTGAAGATCACGTCACGGCTCCGCCTACACTGCGATACTACCCCAGTTCCTAAACTATAATGGAAATGCGCCATAAAGTGAGCCAGTCCTAACGAGGCCCAGCCATACCGAGCGGGGCCGAGCGAGGCCGTGTAGTGGAAACGCGCCAATAGTGGCCCTGTCCGATATAGTGCCAGATGCTGTGGTAATGCACAGAGGTAGCTCATTACGGATATCACCGGTGGATATCGATTTTATGGAGTTCCAACATTTTCCAGGATTATTCAGGTTCTTTGTGGTAACTGACAGATAATACTTAGACTTAGCACTTTTTATTTGTGATGTGAAGCTATTTCTTAGCTGCCTAAAGCGTAGCCATTCTACCTCTGAGCCTGATTTCCTAGCCTTTGCCCAGGCCTTGTTTCTCTCATGTAGGAGACTAGATAAGTCAGCAGAAAACCAAGGGTTGTCTCGTCCCTTCACTCTAAATTTACGCAGGGGTGCATGTCTATATATAATTTCCATAAAACCAAGATAAAAATAAGACCATGCAGTTTCTACATCAGCACACAGATCGATTTTACCCCAATCAAAATCAAACAACTCATGTACAAAACCTTGCTCCACAAAATGTTTTTTGTCTCTCTTAGTGATAATGCGAGGTTTAACCTTTTGGACTTTTGTGTCCCTAATTGTGGCTACAACACAGTGATCACTCAGATCATTTGCAAATACTCCCACAGATAAGTATTTATGGGGAACATTAGTTAAAATGAGATCAATTAAGGAGGATTTATTTGGGGACTTAATGTTAGGGCGAGTAGGACTGTCTATAATCTGAGTAACATTCAGAGAGATACAAAGGTTTTTAAAATCCTCTGACACAGAAGTTAACCAGTCCCAATTAAAATCACCAAGCAGCACTATTTCCTTGTAGTCAAGTTGAGATAAAAGTTTTGCCAATGAAGATAAAGAGTCCTTGACAGCTGAGGGGGGTCTGTAGCAGCCCACCACCATGAGCTGTTGACCCTTTGCTACTTCAATATTTAAGGCTAAAAATTCTAGTTGTTTACTAATAGATTTGGAAACCATCTTGGTTACACAAAACTTATTTTTCACATAAATGGCAACGCCACCACCTTTTTTAGGACGGTCGGTACGATATACACTATAACCATTTAAGTAGATGTCAGAGGCCAAAATAGATTTATCTAGCCACGTTTCTGATAAGACAATGATATCAGCATCAGTCGAGCTCGCCCAAATGCGGACAAAATCTAACTTAGGTAACAGACTGCGCACATTTAAGTGAATGAATCCCAACTCAGATCTAGAAATAAAATCAGCAGGAGTAGCTATCTGACTACTACTGCTACTGGGCGGTCCAGGGTTTAGTTGTACATTCCCTGATAGTAATAATAGCAAAAAAAACAAGCACCTTTTCCTCTTAACCGACACACATACATTGTCATCTGCTTT